TGATATCCGGTGCCCTTGGGCAATTAAGCCTAAACAAGGGTAAGAGGTGAAATAGGCCTTTTTAAATGAAGAAAAGCATAAAAATAAGTGATTAGAAAATGGGGATGAGTAACAAAAGTTAGCGATTTCAAAATATCAATTATTTTCTTTCATAAATTTAGAGATCCAATTTGACCTTCATAGTGAAAGGTCATGTAAAATTCCCTCTATATGGAGAATTTGCATTTTGCTCAACCAAGAATTGAATGAGTAATAAATAAGTAGGTATTTTAACTTAGATGACCAGTAGGAAGAACAGAGACATAGATACTTCATGCCAAAGTGGAAACCTGGCAACTGCTTCTTTGATGATGTGTCTCCAAATTGGGTGTCTAGGTTTAAACACAGTCATCTTTGGCACCTAACTTCTCTCTGGCTTAGCTGTCCACTGAGTTTTATAGCCCACAAGCAAAATATAACTTCAAGATATAAAATGTTATTTTTTTTTTGAGACAAAGTCTCACTCTGTTGCCCTGGCTAGAGTGCTGTGGCGTCAACCTAGCTCACAGCAACCTCCAACTCCTGGGCTCAAGCAATCCCACTGCCTCAGCCTCCCAAGTAGCTGGGACTACAGGCACATGCCACCATGCCCAACTAATTTTTTTCTTTATATTTTTAGTTGTCCAGCTAATTTCTTTCTACTTTTTTAGTAGAGACGGGGTCTCGCTCTTGCTCAAGCTGGTCTCGAACTCCTGAGCTCAAACAATCTGCCCGCCTCGGCCTCCCAGAGTGCTAGGATTACAGGCAGGAGCCACCATGCCCGGCCTAAAATGTAAATTTAACACTTCAAATTGATACTTCTTTATGAGAAAAAAAATATTCAGATTAAGAGCTTCTGTTTTTATTTTGAAGTCCTGATATTATCAACAATTACTTGGACCAACTTTTAAAATATTAAATTACCCCAATTAAAAATTGGGTTGGGGCAAAAGTTGGTACTTCTGTATGCCTTATTTTGCACTTTCTACTTTCAAATACAGTGTTAATTAATTAAGAAATAAAATATTCTTCTGTGACAAAATTTCTGCATGTTCTTTGGTTATACTTTTATAATGTATTACAGAATTTAGGAAGAGTCCTTCCTGTGGTGCATTGGGTAGAAACATATTTCTGTAAAGGCTGATAAGATTATTTATATCCAATTTGACATTTATCCCTCCAAAATAGGCAACTGCAAAGACATTTGTAGAGAGTTTAATCAGCAGGTTGAAAGATCATATTTGCAACCATATTTCACATTATAATGTTCAACTCTCCCAAGCTTCTTCATAAACAGTGAGCACAAAAACTTAAATGTAAAAGCATAAAGTGAATTTTCAGCAACTAAATGATCATGCACTCAGTTGATTCTTTATCAACAACCTTCATGGGAAAATTCAGAATTTCCTATAAGAATCAACCCAGACAATTACTTCTCCCATCTCCACCCCATCCCTGTCCCATGTATCTATATCATGGACACTCAGTTGTTTCAAAAATAAAACAACTATACTTTCTGTAATTTTCATAAATAAAACAAAATTTTGAAAACTTTACACAAATATATTTAATATTTCCTTCATCCTAATGTGTGTCAGTATTAGAAACCATGTGGAGAAGCTAAACTGTCCTAAGACTTATTTAAATAATCATTCACAATTCTATATAGTCCTTAATATTTCAAAATGCTGTGAAAATATATGGCCATCATTCTGCATTATAACACTCCATATGCTAGCGGTATTTTCATTTTACCTGTAGATGAGAATGTTCAGATAGAAGTGTCAGGACATTTCCCTAAAGAAACACAACCATGCTGTGTGACTTCAGGAAAATCAGCCTCCCATGCAGGGTTCTCAAACTCTACACTACTGACATCTTAGGCTGGATAATTTTTTCGTTGGGGGAGGGGAGCTGCCCTGCCTCACAGGATATTTAGTAGCTTCCCTATATCCTACCCACTGAATTCTACCCAGCAGCTCCCTTCTCTAGTTGTGACAACCAAAACTGTCTCCAGACATTTCCAAATGTCCATGATGAGCAAAACTACCCCATTGAGAACCACTAGTCTGGAGAGAAAATGATTGCATAAAGTAACTAAAGAGGTGAATATGAGTTTATGCTATTGTACATCTCACTTATACACTTTTCATTTCTCTATGGAGTGAATATGATTTATCTATATCTTCCTTTAAAATATATTCAGAGGGATATATATAACAGAGGGATTATAACAGAGGGAATAAAATATATTCCCTCTGTTGCAATAATCCACTGATTCTTAAATATAGTTTGATATTCCTGTGACACACATTTTTTAGAGAAGGTACTATCTCTACATCACGATACTGCAAATTAACACCTCATTTTTTTAAAAACTGGCAAATGACCTTTGTCTCAAACTTTGATTCCTAATCATATTGAGTGAACAGTATTTGAGTTAATAAAGTGCTATTCCACCAAGAGGCCAACCTGATCTTTTCTACTCACATCATTCCTGTGAGGTAGGTAGGGGTTTAGTGCTATGTACCATCATTAAAGGAAACCAAGGACAAATTCCAGGGTATGCAACTTGTCAGCAGCAAAACAGACATTGACATACACAACTCTTGTGGGTTTCCCCCCATTGATGTTTTTGTGATTCAAAATAAGAATAGCAGATGATTTAATTTTTTTACACTATAATATATTGATGTTTTATCCCTATTTGATTTTATCCAAAAATTTAGAAATTAAGATACATTATTTTTAATTAATAATATTACTGTACTTTCTTAAGCAATCTATCTGGCATGTTCATGTGTTTATAAAAGTAAAATATTTATAGTTCCAAATGTTACAAAAATGTACTTTGTCTAAAGGAAAGTGAACAAGAATGGATGCATCATATTTCTCATAAAGAATATACTGCATAACCCCTTGGAAATCGATAAAAGAAAAAGTTAAATAACCAGATTTTGATTTCTAAAATGGAAGCATTTGACACACACATGCATTTAGAATTATCAAATAAATAGTGATAATTCAAATTACAAATACATAAAAAAGTAAAATTATGTCTTTCTACTCCTTAAAACATTGTAGAAAGATCCACAAAAATTTGATATTTGCTTACAAATATAGTGATTTAAAAAAATAACCTCTATCCACATAAGAAATATAAGAATATATTGTTAATTTAAATGTTATATAGTTTGCTTTAGATAAATGATACTTATTTTTATTTCTTAGTGTTATCACTTAGCAACCTCTAAATGTACAGTATAGTTATTTAAATAGTTTGGATCAGAAAATCAGCATAAAATCATTTAATTATAAAGCATTTGTATGTATCTAAATTAGCTCTTATATGTTTTTAAAAAATTGAAAAGTTTTAAAAAAAAACTTTTAAACAGTATCTAATGTGGGAACTGTAGAAAAATAAGTTATTGATGACATCCTATAACCAAACTCTTAGCTATGAACACAGCAAAATAAACAGCTAAGCAAATTTGTTACTTGAAATTTTAAAACATGGAACAAAGCATATCTTTAACGAGTCTAGAATATGAAAAAAAGCAGTGCTTGCCTATGTAATTTAGCTCTTTAACTGGATGAATGTACTAGAATTTCAAATTTTCCAAGCCTATGCACCTTTAAATTTAATTGATGGCAAATTAGCTGATATTCAAAAGTTCGACTTAACAGCATTTGATGTAGTCATCTAACTCCATAGAACTTAAACATTTTTAATAATATAATGGTCTAAGTCATCAAATCCATAAGTACCTACATCAAGTATACATTAGTACCAGGCTCGTGGGAGTTTATAATGTATAGGCTAGGACTTGATGAACCAGGATTTGGGATGGCATAACCCACACAGGGTGTCTTGAGACATATTCAAGCCCAAGGCAATAAACAGAAAATTAGAAAGGTAAGCACAGGTAAAGTGCAGAGCACAACCAAAGTTGGGGGTGTCAGAAACCAAGAATGCAGATAAGAACCATGGTCCAAGAAAGGAAACATAGCAGTATAAGGCCAGAAACTCTAGAAAACAAGACAAAAGGCACAAGAATAGATGTGTAGCACCCAAAGGACCTTGATTGTTGGGCCCAGGTTCTTCCTCAAACAGGATACTTCTTTTTCTTTTTTGTTTTTGGAGACAGAATCTCACTCTGTTGCCCAGGCTAGAGTGCCATGGCATCACCCTAGCTCACAGCAACTTCAAACTCTTAGGCTTAAGCATTCCTCCTGAGTAGCTCAGACTACAGGCATGTGCCACCATGCCTGGCTAATTTTTTTCTATATATTTTTAGTTGAGCAGCTAATTTCTTTATATTTTTAGTAGAGACGGTGTCTCACTCTTATTCAGGCTGGTTTTGAACTCCTGAACTCAAAAGATCCTCCTGCCTTGGCCTCCTAGAGTGCTAGGATTACAGGTGTGAACCACTAAGCCCGGCCAGAATACATCTTGACTATCACCTTCCAGAGCCAGAATCAGTTCCATGGTTAACATGTGCCCTGGGCTGATAGGGGGATAAGAAACAAAGATCTAGACAACGTAGACCTATCACCTCATTGCTCCAGAAAAACAGAGTACATGGTAGGAGAGAGAAAAACACTTTCCAATACTAATTATGATTTTGGTAATCCCTCAAACTTAATGCTAGTACCAAAGGCATTGAAAATATTTTTCAGTAATGCCCAAATTTAAGAATATGCCTTTTACCATCAATTACATGTGCATATGTGCATATTGGCTTTTCAGCATACATGAATCATAACTTTTGTAACTAAGGCTTCATTAAAATAAGAGAGAGGGAAATGCCTGTGCTGAAACTCATAAATTAATGAGTGTAGAAAGTAAAGAAAGTCAGAACTTTGTTTTAACAAAAATTTATCCCCCAAAATACTCATGATAGAATAAAAAAAAAAAAAATCAAAAAGACAAAAACCAAAAAAACTAAGCCTGATCCAATTATCTTAGAAAATACATACAAACATTTTGATTACATTTAAAAAAAAAAAAAAAAGAAAATACATAAAATTGACACACTGTTTAAGACCAGGTAGTATCAAAGCTGCTTCACAAACGAGTCCCATTGATCTTGCCATTGTGATCGGCGAAGTTCAGTTCAATATGGTTGAAAGCAGGATTGTCAGTTCCACCATCTTCCATTGGATGAGATTTATAGCTTAAAACATGCTTCTTCTAAAAGAAAATGTTAGCATGGTGATTAGACAAAAAGAAATTGTTCATTCATTTAATTCAAAATCATTGTCACTACTGTCTTTATTCCTCTAAACCAGCTTTGTAATCTACTGAAAGAGAGAGATATACAACAGGTATAGCCCGTCAGACGACAGGGAGATACACAACAGACAGCTCATCAGAGGATGGGATATATACCTGGATACATAGCTTTCTTGTCCATCACTATTCAAGAAAGAGGCTGAGAATTAACTAGCGTTCTATACAGGTAATCAAGCCCGGTCGCCTAATTTAAGGTAAATGAAAGCCAACTCACTTTCTTAAAAATATCAAAATTGGATAAAAAGTCTTCTTTGGTTAGTATGAATCTGCTGTCTAAGTTCTGTTTTCTTCCTCCTGAAAAAAAAATATACATTATTTACAATGTTAAAAAGATACTTGTAACTACACAGTGACATTCCATCATACGGGCATTTAACTTATGCACATCCAACTCCATGTACTCATAAAACACAAAGAGATAGAGAAACGTTTAAATAGTGCTATAGACATAACCCACCATACCTTATCCTCAGTCAGATCCTACAAGCCTCTCACTATGATAAATATGAGTCTTTATACACACACACACACACACACACACACACACATAAAGAACCTCTGCTGTTGCTGTTCTGGAGATAGAATCAACTTTAAATTAATTCATTCAACCTTATTGAGTGTCTATTGTGTGCTAGAGACTTGGCTAGGTGCTAACAAAACAATCACTGGACTCCCAGATTGTGGTCTACTTAGGAAAAATTTTATCCCCATTTTACCGATGAAGAAAGAGGCCCTGGTGCATAGCAAAGAGTCAAGTGAGGCTGAAATGCCAACCAAGTCTATATGGCCTGAATTCTTATGGGATTTCTAGTACAGTACAGGAGGTTTTAAAATATATTTGCCAAAGAATATCAGATTTGTATGTTTCTAGATTTTTTTTTCAAGGTGCTCACTACTTCTATGGAGTAGGAATCAGTCATTTGTGAAATTAATGAAGTTGAAGCTTTTTATATGGATGTAACTTACCTGGGTAAAGCATTACTTTTTAAAATAAAAGATATAGCTATATATGGTTATCAGAATCAAAGCATTTAAGGGAAAAGAAAGAGTACTCAAAGAGAGTTCTCTGACTACCTACTTTCTTAAAAAAATGAGTTGAATAAGGACCAAAGGTCAAATATTACAAGGAGACTGATTAGGTATGTTCCAGATATGAACAACTGGGTAAATGATGGAAAAAGTTTAAAATCTCTCTTAAAACATATCAAAACAGACAAAAGCATAAACCTACTGTGCTGGCAATTTTGTTTATGGGAAAAAAACCAAGTCCTTTTGGGAAAAAAAGAGAATACATTCAAACAATTGTTACAAACTTCATAATTATAAATACAAATGTCACAAGAGGTTTAAGAGACAATGCTATCCAGGTATCAGAAAACAATTGATAGCAGGGTTCTATAAAGTGGCACACTGCTGCTGGCTTTGTAGCATAAAGCAAATAAAGACATCAGACATACTTGGACAAAATGTAGGACTTCTGACTAGTTATAACACATTTGACAAGGAGGGCATGCAGCCTTTCCCTAGCGTGGTTGCTATGGGTGTATACGCCTGAAAGGGGTGCAGGGAATTAGGCAGCCCAGCACTTCTCACCAACTCCACGTTACTACCTCTGCCGGAACCACTGTGATCTCTCACCTGGATTACCGCAATGGCCTCCTACCTGCCCCTGTTCCCCTACAGACTATTCTCAATACTGGATCAGAGTGCTCCTTTGAGAATGACTGGAAAGGTAGTGACAAAATATCCCATAGAGCAGACCTAAAAGACACAGAGATGGAAAATAGGAAAGAAAAGACAAGAAAATTAGAGGAACTATCCACTACTCAAACATTTGACTAATCAGTTTCCAGAAGAAGAAAACAGAAAATGACAAGAAATTGCAAATAAATAAGAAAATGCCCAGAACTCAAGGACATGGATCTTCAGATTGAAAAGGGCCTACCAAAGGCCTAGGTCAAGGCAGTTGTTGTGAAAAAATGGGTCACATGCAAAGGGTCAGCAGGTGGCATGACACTGTCACTCAACAGCAACACAGTAAGCTAGGAGAAAATTAAGACACACTCCCAGAAAAAAAAAAAGTTATTTTCACCTTAGTAGTCTCTGCTCAAACAAGTTATCAATCAAGTAAAAGATAGACTAAAGGAATTTTTTCAGACATGCAAAATTCAAAAAACCTCTTCACTTGTCTACCCTTTCTCAAGAATGTGCTACAGGATGTGCTCCATTCAACGAAGGGAGTAAACGAGAAGGAGGGGAACCCAACACAGGAAGGACACAGAATGAGGACAAAATGAAGTCTCAGGGTAACAGCTCTGTAGCAGTCTCAGAAAGCAAGTTATACTACGTGTATGATCAATTTGATTTTTTTAAACATACTTTTTACAAAATTTATGAACATCACAAAAAGCCTTCACACTATTTAGACATAAAGATTATAATTATTATTCTTTACATGCATATACTTCTTTACAGTTTACAATGAATCAGCACAGAACAACAGAATGATTAAGGCTCAGAGATGCCGTGAAGATACGTGTAAAATCCTGAGCATGTAGTAGCTACGCACAGTGTTTCCAAGCATCTTATTTTTATCATACAGCCACCTGTGAAGTAGGGAGGTCAATTATTATTGTCCTCATTTTACACATCAGAAAGGCTAAGGCTCAAAGTAGTTATGTGACCGGCCCAAGTTCATCCAACTACTAAATGGCAGAACCAAGATTCAAATAGAGATGGATCTTCCACTTTCAAGTCCAGGCCCTCAAATTTCCCAGGAGCAAATGGAAGAAATAATTAAACTTGTTGTTAACAGGATCATAGTAAAATTATATAAATAGCTATAAAACAGATATAGTAAAAAAACGGGTATAGAGGTAAATTCAATAATATTAATGTTTAGTTAGTTACCTGTTGATAAACTGAGAAGCATCCCCACAAACAATGTTACCAAGGTTCCAATAGCGCTGAAGTACAGGTATGATAAAGAATACCAGTTATCCATCAGTGGAGTCCTAAGAGATAGCAAAAGTGTAACTATAAGATTTCATGTAATGCAACTAGTAACTACCAGTATGTTCCAACGATTCTCATGGCAAGGTCAAAATATAAGATTTAATATTGTCCCTGCCATCCCTCCCCCCCCATGCCAGAACATCAAACAATATTTGTACCGCCATAACATGATAAAATCAAAGGAAAAAAAGATTTAATAATGTTTTAATGTCATAATCTGCTATCTTGATTTTACCTTATTGGATCAGGAATTAAAAGTATGACTTCACTTTGACCATGTACTAAAACATTTGTGTCATGTTTATTCACTCAACTCTTACTAATGTCCCGGGCACTGCTCTTGTCATTGGAGAGTCAGCCATCAATAAAGTAGATAAGGTGCCTGCCCACATCAAGTTTACATTCTAACAGGGAGATAAATAAAATAGGCTAATCCATAAACATATTAATTTCTACTGGTAGAAAGTGCCATAAGAAAAATAAAACCAGATGATGTGCTGTCAACAGGGAGAAGAAGGAGAGACCACACTACAACAAGTGGTCAGAGAAAACCTCTGGGGAAAAATGACATTTGGACTGAGATCCAACTCACAAGAAGTTCTTGAAGAAAAGCATCCCAGAGAGGTAAATACCAGCTGACTGAAGCATAGCGAACAAGGCACAACGTGGTACAAGACAAGTGGTAGACAGAGGACTTTTTGTGGGGCTTGATATGAGTTGGGATTTAACTCTATGGGCACTGGCACTCATTGCAGTATTTTAAGTGAAGGAGTGACATAATCACTCTACAATCATTTCTACAATTATTGCTCTAGGATTCCACTTTCAGCTTTGATAAAGTTGCTTGATTTAGATGAACCATCCTGCTAAGAACAATATATTAAAACTGGGAGATAGGGAGGGAGGCAGATTTTTTTAAAACATCAGAGAGATTAGCCCAATGAGAACTTAAGGGGCCAAGACCCCAGAAAGAAGGAAAACAATTGAGGTGAGCTAATGGAATTAAGAGAGTGTGATGTAGAACCAAAGACAAAATAAACCAGACTAGAGAATCAAGAAACAGACTCGCAGGAAAATAGTTATTTGGTTTATATGGGTTTAGTTGCCACTGCATTGCAATGGAACAAAAAGAGAGTCTTTTCAATAAATGATGCTTGGTTAATTGAATATCCATAAGGGGAAAAAATAATCTTGATCACACCACCCACAGAAATCAATTCCAAAGGGATTATACTTCCTAAATAGATATGGTTAACAATAAAACTTTTAAATTAAAAATCAGAAGAATACCTTTATGACCCCAGGGTAGGCACAGATTTCTTAAGCAAGACACATAAAGGACTAACCATATAGGAAAAGAGGAAGAAACTGAAATTAATTAAAAGTGAGACATTCTGACCACAAAAGGGTATCATTAAGACAGTAAAAGGCAACCCATGGAATGGGAACAAAATATTTTCAAAACATATCTTGTATCTAGAATAGAACAAGAACTCTTACATAAATGAGAAAAAGACAGAGAACCCATTTCAAATGGACCAAAGACTTCAATAACCATGTCACGAAAGTAGATGCCCCAATGGCCAAACAACATATGAAAAGGTATTCAACTTCATTAATCATAAGGGAAGTACAAATTAAAGCCACACGTGCTACCAATATATACCCATCCAATATTGGGAACTGAAAAGAATCAAAACTGAATCTGGCCAATGGAAACCAGTATCTAGGCAACCAAAACTCTCTTACTTAATCTGCAGCCGTGTTGCTCACTGCCCTTGTACTCCAGCCTTACAAAGCCAGGGTGATTGCCCACGACGCCACGTTTCTTCAGCCTTTGCACTTGTTTTTTCTTCACTGTGCAACACACACTCCTCCTTCTGTGTGTCCCCTGGGCTCAGTCTTGCCTCCTCATTAACTCCAGCCCATGTCATACTCCTCTTAGAAGGTTTCCTTGGCTCCACCCAGGCAGAGTTAGGCTCTTCCTCTTCCTGGCTCCCATGATATGCTATGAATACTGCTTATCACAATGTGTTTTTTAAATGATTATTTTCTCGTCTGGGTCTTGTCTTCTGGTCATTAGTCATTTTCTGTGATAAAAATGGCCTTTCAGACCTTCCCCTTCATCTAGCCAAACCTCTGCATTCTGCAAGTAGTACTATGTCTCTGCAGTCTTCACATTAGTCTACACTCTGACTTTGTCTATACTCATTCTTTTAACAAATATTTATCAAATATTTATTAGCTATTTACTATGTGCTAATTATTACACTTATCATGCTTACTGGGTTCTTTGCTTTGTGTATATTAGCACACTCTGTCTAAGTAGATTTTAATTTCCTGGAAGGCAGGAAACAGTAGAAGAAGATGACTTTCTTCAATGGGTGTTAAATAGTCAGCACAGTGCTGGGTACATACTCTATGCTCAAAAATTCTTCTTTATTAGATGAAATATTTTATAAATAAGCTAACATATAAAAGTGATTATTATGGTACCAGGCACAGAGTAAACCTCAGCTAATTTATTTGTTTCAGGAATCCAATTAACCATTTTGCTTAGACTCTTAAATTAAGGGTGATATTTACATAATCAGGACAAATGCTAAGTAAAATTGTGAAACAAGAAATACATCCCGTATGTCCTCCCACTTAATCTTGAATTAATCTTTCCTCCCTTTCTGATTCTCTCTAGTCAGTTTCCCAACACGTTCCCATTAGCACTTTCATGCCTGTCCAGATTTTTCCCAGGTGTTCTTGCTGCTCTCTCTACAGCACCTCACCTGGTAAAACCTCCCCCAAATATGTATGCCTCAGGCTCTGTAACTACCTGTCCACTCTACCATGTAGGGCTTACCTGCCTTGCACTCCCTTGGGAGTCCCACTGGCAGGTATTCGTATAGCTGAATTCCCTCTGGGACATGGATTGCAAATAACGGCTACATATATGGTCATGTCCCTTTTCCCAAGAGTGTGTCTGTTTCAAGAGGTAGACATCATGTCTTGATCCAAAAAAAAAAATGACTCTCATGGCGTCATTTGAGACAAGCTGGCCCTGGGGCAATATTTGGGGGACAATGGCCTTGTCTTTGCATTCCTCAAACATATCCATGGGGTTTGTGCTTTAAGGCTGCACATTTATATTAATATATTCACCAAGGAAAGTCTTGCCCTCACACCCACTATACAAAAAAACATGACTCACGGGTCTGCACCTCAGACCAGTACCAGTCTGTGGCCTGTTAGGAACCAGGCCACACAGCAGGAGGTGAGCAGCAGGTGAGGGAGCAAAGCTTCATCTGTATTTACAGCTGTTCCCCGTCACTCACATCACCGCCTGAGCTCCACCTCCTGTCAGATCCGATGTGGCATTAGATTCTCACAGGAGCATGAACCCTACTGTAAACTGCACATGTGAGGAATCCAGGTTGCAGGCTCCTTATGAGAATCCAATGCCTGATGATCTGAGGTGGAGCTGAGGCGGTGATGCTAGCACTGGGGAGTGGCTGCAAATGTAATAAATGTAATGCACTCGAATCATCTTGAAACTATCCTCCCCCACCACTCCCACTCCCTGTCCATGAAAAAATTGTCTTCCACAAAACCAGTCCCTGGTGCCAAAAAGATTGGGGACCTCTGGCCTATGTCATTTCATTAAACCAGACAACCTCAGTATCCAGGGGCTAAAAAATGTACTATGTAAGTGAAAACTCTAGTGGGAAGATTGTATCAGCAACTCACTGCTAGTGCTTGGAATCTTTAACTGAACAAGTAGTAATTATTTAACATATTTAGACAACTGTAGCTTTTGTTCAGTAAAGGCTATACTTAAAAGACTATACAAGCAATATTCATTTTATAATTGTGCTTTTAATTTTAAAAGTTTTTCAAACACACAGACAATTCATGCAGCTAGAGCTGGTGTTTGGTAGCATTTACTCATGATAGAATCTTTTTTCATTAATATTTAAGTCTTCTCCAGATCTGTAGACAGGGCAGACATTTCTATAGAAATTAATAAAATACGGCATTTTTTTCTGTTGCTGAATATTATAGCCAGCTGCATGGGTTCTACCCATTTAAGAATTAGGTAAAATCAGTGTTGTAGGTAAGACAAAAAGCGACTAGAGTTCTCTGCCTACTACACAAATTTTTTAAAAAAGGATATCATAAAACTTAATTCAATACCTTTCAACATTGTGGATTTGAAACGCACTAGTAGAAAATGGCATTTCTGTGGCTGTCGTCAAATTCATCCCGTTGTATGAGCTGTTGCAGCCATAGGTTTCAAGGTGTAAGGGCATCGTTCTCTCAGGAAGTGGAGGGTAAAGTTGAGCTCCAATTCCAACCCATAAAGAAATGGCAAATCCAGCAATCAGCCCGACAAATGTTCCCTGCAAAACAAGAGTGCTTTTAAAAGAAAAATAACACAGTTTGCTTTGAGATAGAAACTGACTTTAGAATGCCAACTTCAACAAGATCCAAGCCAAACTGACTAGCTCCCCTCCTACAAGTACTCTCCCCTGCAAGTTCTCTGCCTCGTGTCAAGGGCACCAGAGGTCACTTTCCCTTTGCCTAGAGCCCTGGAGACTCGGACTTCATGCCCTTTTTCATACCCCTATCTAGCCAATCACCACCTCCTGCCCATTTTTCTTTTCAAATATCTCCTACTTCCATTCCTTCCACTCTGTTTCCATGGCCAGCACTATGCTCTGGCCTCATCACTTCACACCCAAAAGACTACAACAGTCACACAGTTGACTCCAGGCCAATCGATCCCTTTATTTTTATTTAATCTGGGAACAAATGACATGCTGTATAAGCACCAGACTATGAAGACAAAAGCAGACACAGGGTTTACCCCTCTACTTACAACATGCATGACTGTGATTGTGCTGCAGGACAATTAGGGAAGACTAGCACGTAGTTGTTACAAACGACCCTAAGAGCACACACAACCAGAACAGGTATCTCTGGAGACAAATGGAAATGGAGTGGGGGAACTTACCTTGGCCAGCTGTCCCCTCTGAAGACTTTTGGTTTCTCAATCATTGCAAGACTCAGCACCCCCACACACACACCACTTCACCAATAGCCCAAGTGTTCTGCCAACCCTTAATGATGTAAGCCCTGGTTCCAAATTATGTGGACAAAAGCAAACCTTGAGCTGGGAAGCTCCTCCCTGTGGCGAAATTTCTCCCATTCCTTTAGGGATAATGATCAGTCAGATGGGGCAGCCTGAGCCTCAGGAGCAACACAGAGAAGAAAGAGAGGGGAATATTTGAGGTAAGTGGGGAAAATATGAGTAAAATCACAAGGTAGGAAGAAAAGAATGGTGTGTTGATGAGAGTGCAAGAAGGGTGCTGTCCAGATCAGGGGATTTGTGTTGGGCACAAGGACTGTGAGCTCTTTCATATGCTGTGAACCCCTTGGGAGCAGAATTAAGTGTCTTTATTGTTGGTACCCTAGCATTTAGCACAATGCTGGATGTCAAGTAGGAAGACAATAAATGTTTTTGTTTTTATTTTTTGAGAGAGAGAGTCTCACTCTGCTGCCCAGGCTAAAGTACTGTGGCGTCAGCCTAGCTCACAGCAACCTCAAACTCCTAGGCTCAAGCAATCCTCCTGCCTCAGCCTCCTGAGTAGCTGGGACTACAGGCATGCGCCACCATGCCTGGCTAATTTTTCCAATATATTTTTAGTTAGCCGATTAATTTCTTTCTATTTTTAGTAGAAACGGGCTCTCACTCTTGCCCAGGCTGGTCTCGAACTCCTGACCTTGAACAATCCTCTTACCTCAGCCTTCCAGAGTGCTAGGATTACAGACGTGAGCCACCGCGCCCGGCCAATAAATATTTTTAAACAGAGTGGTCAGCTGTTGGCAGGCCGAACTTAGCTTACTCTCAGCACCGTACGTGGCTTGATCAAGGATCCACAAAATTATAAAACCCACCAGGGCGGAAACATGCAGTGCTCTACACCTAAGATGGTGCTCAGCCCATAAATATTTATTGAATAAATGAACGAATGAATGAATGAATGAATGAATGAATGAATGAATGAGAGGGAGGGAGGGAGGAAAAAAGGAGGGAAGAAGGTCACTCCAAGGAATGGTAGATAATCTGCTGGTGAAAAACTTGGATATGGTAAAAGGAGGTATTTCCTGTAGCAGGAATAATAGTGTCTTTTTCCCCTCCTAAAAAGGACATGTTGGGTTCAGGCAGCTACAGCTCCTCTGAAGGCAATTCATGATGGCAACAAGTGTCAGAAACCAAAAGTTGCTCTTTTTTTGTTGTTTTTCAGATTCCCAACAAACCAGCGCGTATTTCATCTGAAAGTCTAATCAAAGCTTCAACATTCTGAGGTGAACACAAACAAGTCTCTTTCATTGTGATTAATTTCTACCAAACTAGCTTTTCGTATGTTTCACTGAGACTTATTAGTAATAATAACAACAATAGCCCTTATTAGTATCTGCCTTACCAATTCCTAATTCCTTATGAGGAAAATGGAATTCTGAACATGAAGTCATAGTTCAGCGGTTATTCTATATCTGTCTGAAACAACTGTATGTACATTAGCAGTTTTTCCTGAACTTCATCTTGTAACAGGACTGAACCAGTGGACATTCTCTTGGCTTTCAGAGAAATAATTTCTTTCCCATTTTTTCCAAATAAAATGTAGTACTTCTAAGCACAGATATGTCTACATAGAAGAACAGAGATATTACCTTTTTCTGGATAATGTTCCCAATTATGATCACCCCGTTGGGACTAAAACAGGTTGTGGAAGCTACAGCTTTTTAAATACCAAGAGAGGAAACTTTCTGGCCAAAGTGGCAAAGATCTTATTGCTGTTGTACTAGTTATTTTTTAAAATTGTGTCCTTTAAGAGATGAGGTCTTGCTCTGTCACCCAGGCTAGAGTGCAGTGGCATGATTATAGCTCACTGCAGCCTCAAAGTCCTAGGCTCAAGTGGTCCTCCCACCTCAGCAACCCAGGTAGCTGGGACTACAGACAGATGCCACCACGCCCAACTAACTTTTTTCTTTCTTTCTTGTTTTTAGAGGAAGGGTCTCACTATGTTGCTCAGGCTGGTCTTGAACTCCTGGCCTCAATTGATCCTCCCACTTCAGCCTCCCAAGTAGCTGAGATTACACGTACAAGCTATTGAACCCAGCTTTTTGCTGTAATATGGCTATTCACAAGAATCCCAGCTTTATTGCCCTTAAATCTCTCATATCTCAGCCTGTTGATCTCATTCTTTAAACCCTACCTATTAATTTTTAAGAAGGGCAAGGAAATAAGCACACAAACTATGTTGCTCCTTTAATTATATTATGAATATTTAAAATTGCACTATATGGTTCCAGCAGTTTCCATTTAGCTTCACACATGCAGGGGCCAGTGCCGAGCGTTTCACTGCACACTCCCTCAAAGTCAATACAGGTAATGTAAGTGAGCGAGACAAGTTTCTAATGACAGATCTCAAAGGAACCATATTTTACAATTGAGAAAAAAGTGCAGAACTGCTACTGCAGTTGGGAAAGTAATCTCCACACATATTCACTCTTTATACTTACAATGGAGTTGGCAAAGGGAACCAAAATGCCCAAAGCAAACACGCCCAGAAGTGGTCCACCAACCATGCCAAATATGCTGAGTGATGCCTACAAAAATAATACAAAGTCAGCAATTAGCAAATGTAAATCCGAACTAAAATGTTTGAAAGTAATTTCATCACGGTGACTATTTAAAGTATTCAGCGTCCTCCTGAAAATCATAGTTTTATTCATGGAAGCCTTGTCATTGGCAAAGAGGTAATTAGAACTTGGAAGCTTCTGCTTCTCCATCTCAAGTATCCATCTGTTCCTCCAAGAAAAGGCAACAAAGTGCAAAGAAGATGGAGAATCCTGGGACAATGGGAGCACGTACATGAATGCATAAATCAAGAATGACACCACTCCCCTCAGTCCTGTTCATGCTGATGTTTATAAATCACAGCACTTCTTTGTGCTTTGATAGCTTCAAAATCTTCCTCAAAACAAGATTATGGATAGGTAATGCTAAGTGACCAGAGATGGTAATGAAACCTACTTTCCATTCCTGATTTGGTTCCCTAAGGGTGAAGGAGAATGAAAAATATGATTTTTTAAAAAATTGATCAAATTCAGTTTCTTTTCAGGAAATGTGCTCTAACAGTATGACTCTTTCTCTCACTCTTAAACAGTGATCTGTGTGATACTAGGAAATTGGAGTTTGAAAAAAGCTCCTCATTTTTAATAAAGTTTATTTGTGCGTACCTCTCCGTGTTTAATTTATATGATAAAATAGATGGGGAGAGTCTGAACCTTAACTGTTATATGTTCTGTTCACCTGTGGCCACAATAAAATTTACTTGTAAAATTAAAAAAAAAAATTGATCAAATTGTGTAGAAATATATTTAAAATCTAATTGGATAATTGCAACCTTTGTTTTGATATAGAGGTGCAAACACTATGATAGTGGGAAAGATTTACAATCCAAAGCATGAAGGCATGCAAGTAACTGAAGCTTCCAAGAGATGTATGTTCCCAACAATCAAATGCCTAGTTTTAAGAATGCACAGAACCATAAAAGAATTAGCCAGATGACTAAAAATAGCAAAAATTAGCCGGGCATGGTGGCACATGCCTATAGTCAGCTACTTGGGAGGCTGAGGTAGGAGGATTGCTTGAGCCCAGGAGTTTGAAGTTGCTGTAGGCAAGGCTGATGTCACAGCACTCTAGCCCAGGAAACAGAGTGAGACTCTGTCTCAAAAAAAAAAAAGAAAATCTGGAAATAATCCTGATGTCCTTCATCAGATAAGTGGTTAAACAAACTATGGTACATTCATACCAGAGAATACTATCCAATAATAAAAAGGAACAAACTAATGATACATGCAACAACCTGGGTGAAATCTCCAGAAAGTTATGCTGTGTGAATAAGGTCATCTACTATAAGATTCCGTGTATGTAACATTCTTGACCAGAGGAAACTGTAGAAGTGGAGAACAGTGATTGCTGCCAGGGGTTAAGGAGGGCATGGGGGCAGGAGGAATGTGAATGTGGCTACCAAAGGGCAACCGGAGGGATCCTTGAGGTGATGCAAATGTCTTGCATCTTGCCTATATCAATTACAATATCCAGGCTGTGATATTGTACTATCAAGATCTTATCATTATTGCAAGATGTTTTCTCAAGATGGTACCATTGAGGGAAACCAAGTAAAGGGTATATGGGCTCTCTCCGCATTATTTCTTACCATTGCATATAAATCTACAATTATCTCAAAATAGGAAGTTTCATTTAAAGTAATTGTAAAGAGAGTAGTCATCTCTGCCTCGATATGTCTATGTGTAGATATATATTGAGAGAAGTATGGAAGGATGGTCACGTCAACATTAAAAGAAAAAGAATTTAGTGATCATGACTTAAACCTCCAGGAGTCAGCTCTCACCTGTAACAAAGTTCCCATTGTCGATGCCAGCGCAGCCATTCCGATACACAGGACTCCGTACAACACACCTGGATGGATGGCACAAAAGCAGGTGTAAAATCTAGACCGGACATTTAGAATTCTCAATAGAATAAGCCACCACACCTTCGATTCAAAGTCGAATAATATGACTATGGCGAAGAATGGCCACGTACATCAGAGCGAGCAAGAAAAGAAAATAGCTGTTGTACGGCAGGATCAGCAGCGTGCGATGAGGACAAACAAAGCCCTTATATTGTGTCCCAGGATTAGTTACAACAGTAGGTTATATAAGTACAGAATCCCTAGAATGAACTATAGGGATTTCAAAACTAAGTACTCCATTGTATGATTAATCCAATCCTCCATAACATTTGGATATAAAGGAAAACTCAGGTCTCTGTTTCAGCCTGTCAAAAATAGGACACCATTCAGCTCCGCCCTGTACAAGGCAGGGGAGGGAAGTAATAAACAGTAGAAATTAGAGTCCCCTGACTTTAAGCATTCATTTCTCTGGGAAGTGAAAATCCATGCCAAGGGGTGTTTTGGGAACTCTAGCCCCTCATAATCTCCATGAGCACTCCCAAGACTTTCCTATTAAATTAGCAAAGAAAGGCAACTCCAAGACAAGTATCTTATTTCCCCTTTCTTGCCACATTGTTTCCCCTAAATGTTTTTACAGAAATTCACAAGCCACCATTGGTGGTCAGATTATGGAATGTTTTTCTTCCTCTTTTGATTTTTGTATTTTTCAAATTTTCTCCAGGTACATGTATTGCTTTCAAAATTGTAAGAGATATTATGCAAAAACAAAACAAAACAAAACAAAAAAACCTTTATTTTTTGAGTTCCATTCAGCAAGTCACCTGAAATCAGTCAAAGTAATTTCCCACATTCGGAATTCAAAATGCAAAAAAAAAAAAAAAAGCAATGAGAAATTTGCTTATAAAATTATTGCATTCCTTATGTTATTTCTATCTTACTATACTAGCACTCATACCTTTGTTAAATATATTGGGTAAATAATCTCATTGCACCTGAAGGAAAAATTTTACATGAATTTTTTTCAAAAACTCTTGTTGCAATGATTTTTATGTCTCTCAATCCTAATTTAAATAGTATTGCCAACATATTTAGCTTTATTTTTCTCCATTTGATAGGCCATGAATGGTCACCAGTATGAGGTTTGGTATTCAAAGTTATTAGAAACATACTCAAATCATCTTCCAAGTTCTTCTCTATGATGTCCTTACTGCATATACCTCAAGATTATGAGGTCATATTACCCTTCAAAATGAATGAAAATCTCATCTAAATTCACTGAGTCGAATTGTTGTTCATCAACATCATTCCATGAGCACCAGGCAGTGCCTCTTGTTTTATATGCATTATCTCAAAACCTCATAGTAACCCAGCAAGGTATTTTTGTGTCCATTTTCTATATGAAGAAATAGAGGCTTATATGGGTTACTGAATTTCCTCAAGGCTAATAGCTAGTAAAATGATGAAGCAAGATTGGGTGTATCTGGCTTCAAAGCATCTATTCATTTTACTAAGCCACACAGCCTCAGTAATACCATAATGAACTACATACTCTTTAGAAAGCATTGTATCATTCTGAAATTACACTCCAGGATTAAAAGTTGGTACATAATAAAATGATGCATTGCTATTTAAATTTAGGGAACATCTAAAAATATAAATTAAGTAATTATTTCATGCTACAGTCATGGCAATTATATATAGAATTATGGCTCAAAACAGAGTATCATTTACTATTTCTTTGACGGTCCGTTTGTGTTACTGTGTTGAGGTTGAAGATTCCTTTTTTTTCAAAAACAAATTTGTTATTCATTCATTCCAAATAAAGAATGAAGTACGTTCGCAAGATTTGAGTTAGATAATACATTTGAGGCAAGTGGGAACTGGAGATTCTTAAATCTTTGCATTCAAGCTGGTATTTAACCCCTAATAAGGTTCTAAGAACAGAAGTTGAGAATTCCTTACACTATATTATAGACCATCTCCAGGACAGTGCACATGAGCAAACAGAACAGACAATCAAGATGAGTCAAAGATCATAAACACTGTTTCTCTATCTTCAACTCATACATACAGACTATGTACCTGAAACTGACATATAGAACAGGACATAGAGGAAAAGTGTGGCTCTTAGTTCCAAACTAAGGATATTTCTTGGAACTGTTGCCTCAAGTTAAAAGGGAAAAGAGTTTAATTTTTTGTGTGCATGGCTAAGAATTTTAATGTAAATTTGGGATAAGAAGAAGGTAGGAAAGAAGAACAGCCAAATACAATAGGACCCCTGGGAATCGTCCTTTGTGATCTACTGACAATTGTTTGGAGCGTCTCTCAAATCTTGATTGCAAATACAGCAGTGTCCACATTAAGTTGCAAGCACACATATGAGGATTTACAGTCATGCTCAGAGGTTCTTACTCTGTATCTTCAGTGGAAAAGAATTTTCTCATGTCTCAAAAAAATCCTCTCTCTGAGCTAAAGTGGAATTGTGAAAACAGAAACTTACTCAATCCTTGGGAAATCCAGGACAGAGATCTTTCTGAGAGTGATCTGAAGCGAGGTTTTATTAGATCTTCCACAGTGACCGCTGCTAAGGCATTAATACTGGAGGACACTGTGCTGTAAGGAGAAATACAACTTTAGATGTATAGTATGTTACCTCCAATAATACTCTAGGATGGGAAAGGGGAGAAACAAATTGTCACTTCTAAAATATAAGCAGATTTCTACAATGTTATTTTTAATGATCACAGCCTCTCTTTTTGGAATCTGTTATCATCCAAGAATGATTCAGGCAACATCCACAGGATTGATAATAAAAGAGAAAGGATATGCTAACGTCGTCTCCATTTTCTAGTTAATCTTCAGTGTCTACGAAAGATATCTACATAAATTATTCAGTATGACTATATACAACAACTTTAAAACGTATTTTTCTTTGTGCATAGAAAAGATTATCATAAGTCCTCCCTAACATACACCATAAATATCAACAATATTAATTTCCTGAATCCTCCCTAACACGTGCTGTACATGTCAATAAGAATCCCCTGCAAGAAGAAAATGCAATGAATAAGTTCAATCACCAAACACAAGATTCCTTGGGCAGTGTATATTATGCAACATGTAAATGGAATATTTAATTCTAATTTTCCAGCTGACCATGCTTTAGCCACAAACATATTTTAAACCAGGCTGTAGACACCCGTTTTTGATAATCAGTGAAAGCTACCATCAACCGATCATCATTACTGCGACATTATAAAGTATGCGATGATATATTAGACAGCAGTTAAAAGTGGAGCCTGATGACAACAGGATGACAGCTCCCAGAGGTAACAGTTGGATTGACAGGATACCTGCAGTAGATGTCTACTTTGGGCCCTTTGTACCTATGCCCAGAATTCAGCTTTATCTCCCAAAGTATCTCATAATAAAAAAAAAAAAAAGATCCCCCAAAAAACACCATGTGTTATTTGAGTCGTAGTTCATACCTTAATGTTCCACTATAAGCACAGGCCACGAAAAGCCCAGGAAGTCCTGGATAATCTTGCAGAATGTCCAGTACCAAATAAGGCATGAGCTGAAAAATTCCAAAATTTACTCCTGAGTGCTAGTTGCTACTGAATAAAATTAATTAATGCCTTATTTAGCTTGGCATTCCTCAGGAACTTAAAGGAGCTATTCCACACAACTGAAATTTCCAAATGCCTAAAATTAAACTATTTAACTGCCAACACTTAAAGGAATGAATAACACAGTAGTTAAGTAAACAGATGTTGGATTCAGACACATGTGGCTTTGTTATTTAATTTCTCTGAGCCTCAGTTTCCTCATCTATAAAATAGTAATAACACCAACTTCATACAGTTGCTATAAAAGTTAAATTAGATAATCTACATAAAGCTTTTAGTATAGTATTAATAACAAGGTCCAAAATCCTCTACCTTATCATCATGTTTCTATAAATCTTCACTGTGATTATTTCATATCTGAGTGGTTCCCTCAATTATAGGTAGAATCAATGAGACGAGATTGATAGACAGGAAAATTGTAAAACTATATCTAGGCACTAATCCTGCTTCCTCAGAGCGAATCCAGCAAAGTGTACCAGAAACACATCTTTGCTCTCCTGAGGATAAGATTTTGACGCGATCTTCCACTGCCTTATTTGCATTGTATCCTCAGTGGAATGTTAATCCTTTGCACTCGGATGTCGAGTATGACTTGACACAGTTAGCAAAAATTATAGAGATTAAAATTACTCTTTGAATGTATCAATAATTTGAAATATTAAAAAATCCAAATAAATAAGTTTGTATGAAAAGAAACTCCAGTTTTTTATTCTACTGCCGCGCTTTGTAAAATCTGGGGTATTTAAAAAATTAAATCCCAAGTAGAATAAAGGAATCAAGAAAAAAGCAAGCGAGTGCAAAGGGTTATTTGAATTGGCTCATTAACACAGTCCTGGAAAGAGCCAGTTAGAGGGAAACCCTAGCACAAGTTCTCTTAAGAGCAAGACACATTGAATGTATCATCCTATGACAAGAAGTCTCAAAGATAGGAAGTTGCAGGGACTTTATTTTTGTGCACGTTAAAGGGAGGGTGTATTAGAAACCATTTTTAAAAAATCCCTCTAATCTTCGTGACACAAATTGCACACCAAAAAAGTGATAAAAATCACAAAATATTCTTGATTAGAGGGAACATAACAGAAGTATCCCTCCATTGCCTCCATCTTCATAGAGATTGTCTGAGAGGACAAGAAGTGTGTGTTTATCAGGAGGGCACAGGTTAAGACAGGGTTGAGATACACAGCTCAAGGATGTTCTCATTTTCTATTCCCACAGTTATATTTTTCTGGGAGTATATGATGCATTTGCACCATGATCAAATTCAGTCTATCTTTCTTCTAATGAGTCCCCTGGGTGCTTGATCTAGAAACAAGTCTTAGAAAATAATTTTAGCAAGAACTCAGACTTTGGAGTCAGGCAGTCCTGGGTTTGAATTCTAGCTTTACTTTTTGAAAGATAATATATGGCAAAGAGGTTCAAATTTAGGACTCTGGCGGCAGCTTGCCTGAATTTGAATCCTGATTCCAGATTTACTAGCTAGTTACTTACTTAACCTCTCTGTACCTCAGTTCCCTCATCTTTGAAAAGGAGATGATCATAGTACCTTTGTCAGATGGTGGCTGTGAGAACTAAAAGTTGAAACTTAACATGAGGCATTTATAGTAGTGCCTAGCCCATGGTCAGTATTTGAAAGAGCTCATAGTTACTCTTATTTATTAGCAATGTGACCTTGGGCAAGTTATATAACCTCTCTGAGATTCATTTCCTCATCTATAAAATAAGAATTACAGGGTTGTGAGAATTAAACAAAGCATGTAAAGCTGTTGGCACAGAATCTCATTACACAGTTGGTACTTAATAAACATGCACTTATTAGATCTGTTTCAACATCATAGCGAAACTAGAAGATAAGCTAACAACACCCACAAAATGTTCTACAGTACCATGGTTTATGTAGGATTTTTTTAAAAATCACATTTTTACATTTCTATTCCCAGCTTCAATCTATTTCTATTTAACATTTGACTTGAATTTTTTCCAGGTATTTCGATATTTTAACTTTAGATGCAGCACTCTTCATTCTTGCTATATCTGCTAAAATAAATTTTTGCCAAATGCTTTATAGAAATTAAAGATGATTATTGCGTGCCCACTTGATGTTTCTCTGCAAGAACATCAACACTCCTTCCTCCCCACTAATAAGCTTTTTGAATGTCATTGATGCACGTATAGGAAAGACATGATACGGAACCTGGTCTACTGCAGACACTTTCTTGGTTGTCCAAGGATCACAGTCTTTGTACCTGGAATAAAGGGCGAGCCCACAAAACACTGAGCAGGTGAGGATTACCCAGAGTCCCACGAGGTTGATGTAGAGAGACCTAAAGGAGTGAAAACAAACCAGCAAAATGACAATTGTAATTCCGATCCCAAAGATTAGGATACCTGCTGCATGATCAAAAGAGACCTTCATGATTCTACTCAATAAATGCACATTACCATTTGGTTACCAAAAATGCTACTTATTTTATTCTAGTCTCATATTCTGTTTCTGATGTTAATCAACAACATATTTGGAAATATTTGGAATAGATGAGGTTATCTCCCATAATGAGTCTCCTGGTCAGAATTCCATGGGCATTGTTAGCTTTATAAGGGAACTTAATTATGGTACTTCAGCCCTTCTTGTCATGAAATCAGGATTTTAATAGTCAACATAGTAGTAACTATTACTCATTTTCCTTTTAAAAGTAATGTAATTATAAGCTGCTAAACATTGTTAGCATCTACATAGCAACTCACCAAACTTGTTTAAATGTTATTTATAAGACCACATATTAAGGATGAATGCAAACCTGTGTTCCTTGGACAGATATGTTTTCAAACAATGTTCAGCATTATAATATACCCTGTGTGCTCCGGTAGAACATAAAGGTTTACACAACAACATGGGAGTCAGACCTGGGCATAAATCCTAGCTCTACCATATAAGACCCTGGGCATGTAATTCATTCTCTCTGATCTTCAGTTTTCTCATTTACACATAGAGATATCAATGCCTGCATCACAAAGTCCTACAATTAAACGAAATAGTATGTATCATATAGCATAGGACTTGCATATAATAAACACTTGTTAAATGGTAGTTATTGATATTATTAGTGTTAATGTCATTGAATTCTATGTCTTAATAATCAGTTGGATAGTAAACACTTCTCTCACTCAGGTGGCCACATGTTTTTTCCAATGGTGTTATAGTGGACAGTGCTGAGTCACCCAAGGCCAAGGAGAGGTATCATCCTCCAAGGTCATCCCGGGGAGCAGCCTGCATCCAATGACTAGTGGCTTCAGGGGTTTAAAGGCCCAATCCTTTCATCCTACCTTGGGACAAGCCTGAAGAGCCACTGTAGCTCTACAGCTCTGTGGAGACTGCATTACAGTACAGGGTCTCCCTCCGGCCAATCCTGCTTTCTTCTCTTCCCTTCTACAGGTAGTGATGCCTTAATCAACTCTTGCATGCTAACCTCCACCTGGAGTCCACTTCTGGAAGAACCTGCCCTATAATAGGTGCCAGACAACAAATTGCTGCCTTTTCCCTTCAATTGATTAATATTACTGTATATTTTGTTATTCTCTCATCTCCAAATTACCAGAAAATTATGCCCAGATACCCTCATGCTCAAACACCTCCTCTCACTCACATCTGAGTTTAATACTGTTGAAATCATGCTGTTTTATTTGATTTTCATGCCGCTTAAATTGACCACTTATCAACATCTGATAATGGCCCTTGTCAATCATTGTTAGTAAGTCTTGGCTTTTTGACAGGGATCCATTCTTCTTCCCACAGTGCCAGTACTAGAAAGCAGGTGAAAATGGTTCCCCTGGGTTCCAAGAGTCTGCCTTGCTCAGGAGATCCATTGGGATATTCTTACAGGAATTAATTTTTATTAAGAAAGTTCTAATGCTGTTATTTTAGCTATAAAATTAGGCTTTTTGAGTTTCAGGTTCCCAAAGAAACAGAAGAAGAACTTGTACACAATTACTCTGGGACATGTATCAGCTCTAGTACAGATTTAAAAGTCCAATAGACTATTATATATGTAAATTAATTTCTTTCAAAATTCCTTAAAATACCAGAACACCTAAGCTCATTTGGGGGGGGGATTCCTTATCCAGTTATTACATTCATATTCATATAAACCTTTCATTATGAAAGTCTCTAAAGACTTAATTTCTAAACCAATTAACTCTCAATATAATCAGTTCTGACATATGACATCACAATATGTTCATCTTCTCCTCTTAATAGAAATAGAATTGCCACTCCTCCCACCCGAACCACCCTGTACTCTTAATCTATCTAGAATTTTTAAGCCCCTAAACACATGTGAGCAGAGTCAATTTTATTTATCAGCTTAGTGATGGTCACTAAGCTGATCTGAGGCCTCCAGAGAAAGAAACAGCCACCATTCCACACTCTTTGCCAAGCCAAGAAAGGCTGGAAAGTCCCTGGCCACACTGTCCTTCCTACCACTGTGCTTTTGTCCAAACCACTCCACCTACCTAGAATGCCTTCCCACTTGTCTCTACCTGCCCAAATTATGATCACTCTTCATATTCAGTCTTCCAGATCAACAGGAATCTCTCACCTACCCTCTGCCTTCACATCACATCAGTTGAAGTAGAAAAAAGAATGTACATTTACTAGACTTCTATCATGTGTGTGCCAAACACAATATTGCATGATACCTACCATGCGACATAGAGTATTTCTTATGCTTCTTTTTTTTTTTTTTTTTTTTTTTTGAGGCAGAGTCTCACTGTGTTGCCTGGGCTAGAGTGCCGTGGCATCAGCCTAGCTCACAGCCACCTCAAACTCCTGGGCTCAAGCAATCCTGCTGCCTCAGCCTCCCGAGTAGCTGGGACTACAGGCATGTGCCACCATGCCTGGTTAAGTTTTTCTATATATTTTTAGTTGGCCAATTAATTTCTTTCTATTTTTAGTAGAGATGGGGTCTCGCTCTTGCTCAGGCTGGTTTCAAACTCCTGACCTTGAGTGATCCGCCCACCGTGGTCTCCCAGAGTGCTAGGATTATAGGTGTGAGCCACCACACCAGGTCCCTTATGCTTCTTTTTACAAGTTTAGAAACTGTATCTCTGAGAGACTAAATAATTTTCCCAGGATCACTCAAGTAGCAAGTATTAGAACAGGGTTATAAACCCATGACTATGTCTGAAAATGAAATACAAGGCAGTATATACACTCTGGAACATTTCCTCTATTGTTATATTGTTTCATGCAATTGTTATTATCTTGCTAGTATTATTTTACTTTTCATATACTGGCATATATTTGCCTAATTTGTTATTAACTTCTTTCATGACAAGGGCCATATATTTATAAACTTTTTATCCCCATAGGTCCTTATACAAACAGATGCACATTAAATGCTTATTTATTTCATAATATTTGTCTTACTTTAATAATTCATGTAAATATTTTCAAATTTCTGATTTAAAAAATACAGTACAACTTTGTTCTGCTTGGTCCTTTTATAATCCTTTTATAATCAATTTGTCTCTTGAAATTTCTTGATACGAAAGACTTAAACGTGAGCTATACTTGACTTACAGAAGTGTTTCCATAAAGACAACTGATGTGTTATTAATGATTTGTTCACCATAGTGTATGACTTACATTTTTGCCTGGAATCTGCTTTTACAGGAAATATATCTCTGCACTTGGGATTGGTTGATACCATAGATGCTGGTCCACGTGAACACACCTCCTATAACAACTGTCCAGAATGTGTGTCTTTGTAAAGGATTAGGATTAAAACTAAATGAAAAGAAACAGGAGACAAATCTGAACAGTTAGCAAAAGACTAAAGAAAAAAAATCCTCTTAGACTATTTTTGGAACAAGCAATGTGTACTTATATACATAAATATGTACACATTTATTAAGTAATATGAAAGGTAAAAATATTTCTAACTTAAGTTCAATGACATAAAAGTTTATTTTCAGAGATCTGGAAATTCTCGACGGGATTGGGAAGAAATGAATGTTCTAATCATTCTGAACATTTATATAAATTGTTCTCCTATAGTCTTAAGAAACTGTTGTGTAAACTAATTTGACATGCTATAATCAGAGAAGAACATAAAACACACAACACAGGGGGCTGGGAGATACATTCGTAAGTGCACCACAGCAATAGATTTGGTACTAAAATAAACACAAAATTAACACATTTTGTGTATATAATTCCTCTCTCAGCACATGGAGTCATAGTGCTCATTTATATTCAAGTTCAAGAAGTCAATCAATTAATGGCAGTTTAAAGGCTTTCATTTTCTAAAATTGCCATATGCCAGTATAATCATGCTTTCATTATAAAAGGCTGTATGCATAAGCTAAACACTAATAGTTGAAAACCACTTTATGACATGTGCATAAGCCCAAAATATTGTTACAAAGGAAGTTCAACTTCCATGCTTGAAATATCTTTTAACTATTTTTACTGGAAGGAAAATGATTTTGTTCATCTCTGACACACCATATGAGCTTGAAAACTTTCTGCAAAATTAGCTTGCAGGGACACTTTTTTTTATATATATATTTTCTTTTTTCAAATTTCAGAATATTATGGGGGTACAAACATTTTGGTTACATATATTGCTTCTGCATCACCCAAGCCAGAGCTAAAAGTGTGCCCATCCCCCAGACAGTGCGCTCTGCACCCATTAGTTATGAGTTTACCCATCCCCTCTACCCCCCTCCAACCTGCCCAGCACCTGATGAATATTATTACCATGTGAGCACCTAAGTGTTGATCAGTTAGTACCAATTTGATGGCGAGAACACGTGGTGCTTGCTTTTCCATTCTTGTGATACTTCACTTTGAAGTATCACTTTGAAGGCTCTAGCTCCACCCAGGATAATACAAGAGGTGCTAGTACATCATTGTCTTTTATGATTACGTAGTACTCCATGGCACACATAAACCACATTTTCATTAATCCACTCATGTATCGATGGGCACTTGGGTTGTTTAAGGCATCAGCCATAACTTTTCTATGTAATTCTCTAGAAATAATATATCAGATTATATAATGTACATTATATACATATATGTATATAAATACACATACATATGATTATCATACACGATCATAATCAACTATATTAATATACTATATATTGTCAGGGCAACATCAAAAGAGAAACTCTCGGGGCTGATTAAAACAAAGAATTGTCAAAATGGAATCAGTGTGTTTTAGTGTCTGTCTCCTAAGAGGCTTCCTTTTCTTATCTTTCCACTTCCCTTATCATGCTGCCCTACCTTTCAACTTATTCTGGACTTTAATATCCAGAAGAAAATACTTTCTTGCCATAAACCCCTTCTCAGGAAGAAGCATCATTCTAAGTACCATGTAACTAAGTACCGCTTGTCTGTTTCAACCTCTTAAAGAGCACGTGGAAAACCCTACACATTTACCCACCAGCTTCAGTTTGCTATGCCACATCCTTAGTGGCATAGTTTTGTTGGTTTGTTTTCAAATGTAAACTTACTATTTCAATAAAGAAGTTATTTTTAAGAGAAAACAAAAGATATGTTCTATTTACCAAGAGGTAAATAGCAACTTACTTCCAGAAGTTTAATCTTCCGCCGTTATAGGCATCACTTAAAATAACGTTGATTCCACCTTGAACCACCGCAGCCCGTATAATCACAGTCGCAAATCCAGCCACCATGATTCCAACTTGAAAAACGTCCGTCCAGATAACTGCTTTAAGACCACCCTTGGAGGGAAAAGCATATTAGGATTAATGCTTCTATCAGACGTCATTAAGCATCCACACACTTACATGCTATGCTGGACAAAAATTATGAAAACGTGCCTTAGCCAAGAGATGCACTCAAGAGAGATGGTCGAACCTTTACAGAGAAGGAGATATTTAAGCCAAGCCTTCAAACACAAGCAGAGGCAAAGATGGAAGGTCCTCCCAGCAGAGAAAAACATCATGGGCAAACACAGGGCGGGGTCAAACTATATGGCATTTGAAAGTGGCCGGAAATGTATTTTGGAATGAAGTGGAGTGGTGTGAGGAGATTGCTGGGAAGAAAACACAGAGTCAGACTGTAAGTCAATATTATGAAATTTATCCTGGAGACAGGACTGATATTTAATCAGTATGCATCTGGATGGTCATACCAGTTGTTGAAAAAGTAAAATTGTTTTATACTAACCACTACCACAAACTTCCCAAGTGTCCTCCTCTAGTCTCTATGCCCTAAACTGAACCACCCCCTGCCTGAAGACCCCATCTTCTACAAGATTGGCAAATAAAGGGTTAAGATCTACACTATCAGAGATCCCATAAGCTGTGCATCACTGCTAAGGACCAGCATGCTCAAAAAAACAAGGCCAAGCCCGAACGGGTGGTGCAAAATTTGGCACCAACGCCCTTAAAAAAAGGGAAAGTAACAAAAGGTTTTAAACCGAAGAAAAACAAGAACAAAACCGGAAAAAACTGGCAAAAACAAGGATGAATCAGGAGACAAGAGTAGCAACCACTGCAGTGGTTCAAATGAAAGAAAAAAATTCAGTTATGATCCATATTCTACAAAGGATCGAATTTTACCCCAGACCAAATATTCCTTACAAAAAAAGAGTTATACTGTGGGAGATCAGGAATAGGTATGAACAACCCAGTTTGCAGCACACAACTACTGGAATTTTCAGTTATGCAGAGTAAGTAGGTAGAGTGAAAAGGGAATGTGTTGACATACCAGTGTGCAGTAGAATGTGCAGACCACCCCAGTTGCCACTACTGCACCCCACAGATCAAATCCTGTGACTGTAAGAGAAAATAGAATGCATGCATAAGTGTTAAAAATGCATAATAAAAATACTTCCCAAAAACTATTATGTAAAGCTGTATCATTTACTGGGCACTTACCTCCATACCCACTTGCCTAAAACTAGGTCCAAATCTCATAAATGTCAAAAAAACAAATGTATTTTAAAGTTATATTTGATGAATTTCTACCCTCAGACACCATATACAGATCCAACATTGGCCAAATTGAATGCATGGAAAAGCATTTATGTTGGAATTAAGCTAAGAAATTACTTGACAATGTGAGATAGTTTTTCAGACTGAATGGGGTCAAAGGGTATTAGTCATCTCAATAGTTACATTTGGAGATTTTAACATTCCTCTCTCAGTAATTGATACAAGTAAAAAAAATCAGTAAATATATGGAAGATGTGAACAATACTATTAACCAACTGAACCTTTGATCTTTACATGTCATAGAACATGACATTTAATAAGCACCCATATAGATCCTTTTCAAGAGTACATGGAATGTTCAAGAGCATAGACCATATCTTGGGCCATAAAATAAATCAATAAATTCAAAGGATTAAAATCATAATAGTTCTCAGACCAAAGAAGTATTAATTTATAAATAAATGACAAAAAGATATGTTAAAAATCCTCAAATACTGAAAATCAAGCAACACTTCTAAATAACCCATGAAAAAAAGAGATCATAAGAGAAATCAGAAAATATTTTAAATGTAATAAAAACACAAAGTATCAAAATCTGTGGGCTGCAGATAAAGTAGTGCTTAAAGAAAAATAATAACTTTAAATATTTATATTATAAAGTAAACCATATTTTAAATCAGGTAGACATAAGCGTCTACCTTAAGAAACTAGAAAACTTAAACCCAAAGGAAGTAGAAGAAAAGAAACAATAAACATAACAGCACAAATTAATGAAACAGAAAACAAAGAACATCAACAAAGCTAAAATGGTTGTTCATAGAAAAGATTAAAAACACCAATAAAAGATTAGAAAGATAAACCAAGATAAAATAATAGAAAAGGTATATTATCAGTATTAGTAATAATTAGAATGGACATCACTATAGCTATTACAAACATTAAAAGGACAGCAAGAGGATATTACAAACAACTTTATGCCAATGAATTTGATAAGTCAGATCAAATGAATACATTCCCTGAAAAACACAATTCACCAAAGCTGACTCAATAAGAATTATAAAATATGAATAACTCTATTAAAGAAATTAAACCCATAAATCAAAACCTTCATGCAAAAACAAACATGAGGCCCAGGTACCTTTATTGTGAACTCTATCAAGCATTTAAGAAAGAAATCCTTAAAATCAACTTATTAGCAAATCAACTTCAGTAATATATAAAAAGGATAATAATGCTATGACCAAGTGAGGTTTATCCCAAGAATGAAAAATTGGCTTAACATTCAAAAAATTAATGTAACTTTCCACATTAACAGTGCAATAAAACAAGAAAGAGAACTAAAAGGCATAAGGACTAGAAAAGAATTAAAAATTTTCTCTATTGATAAACAACATGAAAATCCTAAGGGATCTCCAAAACCCTACTTAAATTAATAAATAAATTTAGCAAGTTGTCAGGACAGAAGATCAACAAATAAAAATCAATTACATGTTTACATACTTGCAATGAATAATGGAAAAAGGATATTATAGCACAATACCATTTGCAATAGCATAAAAACGTCGATTATCTAGGAATAATCTAAGAAATATGTGCAAGATCTCAACATCAAAAGCTACAAATCATTATTAAGAGAAAATTTTAAAGTCCCAGGTAAATGAATAGATGTACTATGCAATGTATTAGAAGAATATCTGCTTTTGTGGAGTGTCTGTGAGTCTTTTGATCATTTTTATGAGACTACTTGTGATTTTTAATTCATTTTATCATTTCGTGAACCAATAAACCAAGCCTCAATAGTCATCAGGAAGATGCAAATTAAAACCACAATAAAATAATAGGTGATACCCACCAGAATGGCTAAAATAAAAAGTAATATTACAGAATGTTGGCAAAGATGTAGAATGCCTAGAATTGTCACATCTTGTGGAGTGGGCATGTAAAATGGCACAACCACTTGTAAAAGCTATTTGCAATTCCTCTTAAATTTCATACTACACCTACCTTGAGCTGGGTCAGAACAGATGTATGTTTATCTTTATACAACTTCCATGAAACAGAATAAAGAGCCCAGAAATAAAGCCAAATACCTACAACCAACTGATCTTCAACAAAGTAGACAAAAACATACACTGGGGAAAGGACATCCTATTCAATAAATTGTGCTGGGAAAATTGGATAGTCATAGGCAGAAGAATGAAACTGGGCCCATATATCTCACCACATACAAAAATTAACTCAAGGTGAATTAAAGACTTAAATGTAAGACCTGAAACTATAAAAATTCTAGAAGAAAACCTGGAAAAAACTCTTCTGGACGTTGGCCTAGGCAAAGAATTTATGACTAAGACCCCAAAAGCAAATGCAACAAAAACAACAATGGACAGATTGGACTTAATTAAACTAAAAAGCTTCTGCACAGCAGAAGAAATAATCAACAGAGTAAACAGACAACCTACAGAATGGGATAAAATATTAGCAAACTATATAGCCAACAAAGGACTAATATCTAGAATCTACAACGAACTCAACAAGAAAAAAAAAATAACCCCATTACAAAGGGGGCAAATGACATGAACAGACATTTTTCAAAAGAAGACGTATGAATAAACATATGCAAAAATGCTTGACATCACTAATCATCAGAGAAATGCAAATCAAAACTACAATGAGATACCATCTTACAACCAGTCAAAATGGCCATTATTAAAAAGCCAAGAAAAAATAGATGTTGGCAAGGATGCAGAGAAAATGGAATGCCTGTACACTGTTGGTGGGAATGTAAATTAGTACAACCTCTACAGAAAACAGTATGGAGATTTCTCAAAGAAATAAAAATATAACTACCATTCGATCCCACAATTCCACTACTGATTATCTACCCAAAGGGAAAGAAATCATATCAAAAGACACATGCCCTCATATGTTTATTGTAGCATTATTCACAATAGCAAAGAAATGTAATCAACAGAAGTGTCCACCAACCAATGAGTGGATAATGAAAATGTGGCATATATATACATAGAATAGTGCTCAGCCATAAAAAAGAATAAAATCATGTATTTTGCAGCAACTTGGATGGAACTGGAGGCCATTATTTTAAACAAAATAACCAGAAACAGAAAGTCAAATATCACATGTTCTCTCTTATAAGTGGGAGCTAAATACGGGGCACACGTGGACATAGAGAGTAGAGTAATAGACACTGGAGACTCATAGGGTGGGAAGGTGGAAAGGTGGTGTGGAATGAGAAATTACCTGTTGGGTACTAAGTAAACTAATCAGGTGATGATTACACAAAAAGCCCAGACTTAACCATTACACAATATATCCATGTAACAAATCTGCACATGTACCCCATAAATCTATAAAAATAATGTTTAAAAAAGTAAAGGACAACAGGTGTCACAAAGCAAAGCAAAGCGCTCTAAACCTGTACAAGAATGTTCTTAGCAGCCTTGATTCACAGTAGCTTAAAACTGGAAACAACCCAGTGTCCATCAATAAAAAAATGGATTGAAGGGGCGCAGTGGCTCACGTCTATAATCCCAGCACTTTGGGAGGTAAAGGTGGGAGCATCTCTTGAGGCCAGAAGTCTGAGACCAGCCTGAGAAACACAGTGACCCCTATATCTACAAAAAATTAAAAATAAGAAAAATTAGTGGGGTGTGATGATGTGCACTTGTAGTCCCAGCTACTTGAGAGGCTGAGGTGGGAAGATCGCCTGAGCCCAGGAGTTCTAGGCTGAGCTATGATCCTGCTACTCTGCATTCTAACCTGGGTGACAGAGTGAGACCCTGTCTCTAACTAAAAAAAAAACAAACAACAACAACAAAAAAATAAGAAAATGGATAAACAAATTTTGGTATATGCATACAATGAAGTACTACTAGCAATAAAAAGGAATGAACTACTGATACATGTTATCAGCATGAATGAATCTCAAAGACATTTTGTTGAGTAAAAAAATCAAACACAAAAAGGCTTTATATGATTTCATTTACATAAAATCTAAGAATGGAGAAAACTAATTTATGGTAGTAAAAATCACAAAGTGGTTGCATAGGATAATGGGAGGGTTATTAGAAAGAGTCACAAGAACAGTGTCTGGGATTGGATGATAGAAATAGTCTATATCTTGACTTGGGTGGTAGTTACATGAGTATACACAATTATTAAAACTCACCCAACTGTACATTTAAGTTCTGTGCATTTGATTGTATATAAGCTATACCTTAACAAAAACTGGTTTTCAATTGTAAAAAGCAAGAAAGAGAAATTTAAGAAATAACAACTAATTGCAGCTACATAAACTTATTTGGATCTGGATTCTAACAAACACCAAAAAAAAAAAAATCAGGGAAATATGAACACTGACTTAATATGAAATTAAGAAATTGATATTAATGTTTTAGATATAATGATGGTATAATCATCTTTAATAAAACAGATTCTTATTTTTAAAAGACATACTGAAAAGCAGATGAAATGACTTAATATCTCAGATTTACAGCAAAATAATCTAGTGGGGGAAATAGGAGAGAATTAAAATTGACCATGTGTTGATAAATATCAATGTAGAGTGATGAGGACATTAGGGTTTGATGCACTATTCTCTCTATTTTAGTATTTGAAGTTTTCTATAATTAAAAAAAGTTAAAAAAGGAAAGAATGAACCTAGAGAATGTTAGGATCCAATTGAGTTAAACGAGTTGTTATTGAGCACTGTTACACACCAAGTACAGTGTCTACACCTGTGCCTTGTTCACGGTAAAATATAGAATTGACACTCTAGTCATCAAAATGTAGTCCCTGTCTCCCTAATTTACTCCCAGGGAGTGGCTTGAGGCTAATCAGAACAGAATCCTTGATTTCTTCAACAGACTGAAGTCAGTGCTCTGATTATTCCCAGAACTGCACTTTAAAACTCTAATATCTTTAATTACACTTAGCGTCAATAAGTAACTTATGAAGCGTATAACCCAGTTCTTGACAGACGAAATGATCCGGTCATGATGTTGGTAATATTGACATGGAACATGCCCGGCATTCACAGTTCAATAGCACATTACATAATGGAATTCCTCTTTGTAATGATACTGTTGTACTTTATAAATGTAGGTAATATTATTATTATCATATCTATCATAACATCAAGAAATTAGAGTGTACAGTTAGTAGGTTTTCTCCATATTACAGGAACTGCACCACATTCTTCCCATCAGAGTCCACTTGTCCATTTTACAAGGAAGTTTTAGAGATAAACTCACTTCCGATTGATAAAAATCAAAGGCCAGGGGGGTTCCCAGAAGCCTTTTTAAGATATGACTAGCATGAACCTTTGCCTCAATAAACTTTCCCAGTCTTGCTGCTTTTATCGGCCCAAATCTAGAGAATATAGGTAATTTGCTGATCAGCACAATCTTCTTAAATGTATTAGTAAGAACTCTACAGCTATTTGTCCTTTCGTCACTAGGAGCAGTCTGATACTGCAAATCACCCAGCTCTCTTTCTCTTACATTGTGGGCCATATGAAAAGTGGAGAGAAGAAAAGTTTCTCTCTCTGCCAGATTTTATTAATACAATGGACCTGAGCAGAATTACAGGAAAGTCTCCTGGATGCCAGTGTTGACACTGAACCCACGCTGCGCCCTCATAAAGCTGACGTAGGCTACCGGAAGCATTCCTCCCTCTGCTCATCTCCCCATCTCCCCAAGGAGAGAGTTTTATTAAAAATGAACCCCAAAATGTGAGTTACCTAATTGGCAACTCTAAAATGTACCTTGATTCAAAGCCAGTGCAGGGGCATAAATAACAATTCCAGTATACAGAATCTACGGGAGAAAAAAAAGAAAGCCAAATTAATTATATGAATTATAAAATTCATTAATCATATGTATGAATTATGAAATAAAATATTGATTTTTTTTCTTATAACTTCAATTGTGAATTAAAACAGCAGTTTCCATGTACTTAATTAAATTTGTTTCTAACTTGAAAATGTTATTTAAATGAAGTTGATTCTGCTCTTTTATTTTTGGTGTGGTCATAGGTTACAAATATATTTTACAACCAACTTTATGAAAAAATATGAACTGTTTATGTGGTGCTTAGTGCAAATGGTCACTGATCCAAAACTCAAGCTTGAAATCAATTTTCCTAGATCTAAAACAATTAGAAAAAAGAAAAAAATATTCATTTAAAAAGAGAATGGACCCTCAATCATATGTCTTTAAACTATTATTAATTACTGCATAATTAATTGAGAAGACAGTAAATATTTTTTAAACTGATTTTTAAAAGTTTATATATCCATAAATTAAGCAAAAGTGTAAATTTGCACTAAAAATTCTAAAAGCCAGTAAAAATTGTATTCCACCTTTTTAATATTATTTGTTGCTTTCATTCATACAGTCAACAAATATTTGTTGATCTGGGGTAAAACAATGAGTAAGATAAATGCAGCCTTTTTCTCTAAGTATCATTTTCATATCATTTGATCTTTCAAATATATCACATAGAAACCAATTCTATGATTAATTCCATAAAACACATTATAGAAAACATATTATTAAATAATTAATACTTAATATTAAATAATGTTTGATTATATTACATAAGTAATGCTATGGAAGTCTTTCAAATGGAAGGTGCTAAAGCGCCTATCTTTTTGCAAAAATGAACTAGCTTTCCATAGTCATTATTCTGTCCAAGTTGAGGATTTATTAATAAAATGTGACCATGGGTCACCTTCCTAATACCCTCGTCCCCACTTCTCATTTCTGTTGACATTTCTAAGATCCAAAGAGGGCCTGAACAGTTGGCAAATGCCAGCTACCAGGCGCAGCTCTGTATCAGAATCTCTACCAGATCCCAAAAGGCATCTTCCTTTTACACAGAAAGTGTTAAGGGCTGATAAAATTTAAGTTGTATAATCTACAAATACATGAAATGGAGTCGAGTTAAATAATTTACAAAGGCACTCTGTCTCACTGCAGCAAATACTTAGGTAGCTTTTGACTCGAGAAATGAAATTGTAATTATAGATGAAAATGAAAACCCTTTCCTCCTCCTCCATCACTAACTCAGCCCTAAAAGGCTTAACTGCCAAGAGGAAGACACATACAAGTGATATAGCAACGATCATTACAGTCCCCCAGCAGCCGCATGCGCAGTGGGAAGTGTTCTCTGTCACTGGCTACTTGGCAAATCCTTGCCTTTCCTTTGCGTCAATCAGTAAATCCATACCATGCATATTCTAGAATTACTGGATTGAGTATTTGTCTTTAAAATCTCCTCCAGAGCCCATGACGATCGGGTCTTATAGTTCAATTTTTAAAACAGCACTGATTTTTAAAGTATGCTCTCAAACGAAGAAAACTATTTCCTGCTGTCTTCCCATGTCAGTTAATTTTTTCATACCTGTTACTCAACATACTGTGAAACATGCAACTTGTTTTCTCTTTGTCAGAATTCCTAATTTCAGCTGCTACAGCTCCCTCAAATATCTTTGTCATCTAGAAATGCCCTTATGGTCGTGTTGGTGGAGTTGGGGGCAGGTGGGATGAGGAAAAATTATATTTTCCTAATGTTGCTTGATCAACATTCACTTAAATCATTCTGGTTTTCCAGGAAGCAAAGCATTTACTGAAACACTGTTTAATGATCTCAACGGCTAATGCTGTGTAGTGACAAGTGTTTTTCCTTTTCGTTTCCTCATATTTTCAACATCTCTTTGTTAGCCGTCATGTGTTTCCCAAGTAAGCTTAACCCAGATGCCGTGGTTAAAAACATTTTAGATGACAAAAGATAAAACAAATTAATGGAGAGCTACTTACTGTTTGAACAATGAAGAGGACTGTTCCACAGAGACGAACGTATCTGTTAAATCGAAGTTCTAAGTACTGTCGCCAAAAAAGGAAAGACAGTTGTTATATGAATCCTCTGGACATTTGTTTTTATCATCACCTTAAGAAGAGTTAGAGATTTAAGGCAACTTTATAACTGATTTGTATTTTCTACTTTCATGTTACTATTATTTTTAATACATATAGCAAAATTGACTCCTGTTTTAGAGAACAGTTCAATGGGTTTTAACACACATACAGGTTCATGTAACCACTGTCAACCATCAGGACACAAAAGAGTTCCATCACCCCAGAAAACTCCCTCATGCCTCTCCTCGGTGTTCAAGCCCTCCACCCACCCTCAAATCCTGTTCTCCTTCCCTAGTTTGGCCTTTTCCGGAATATCATACAAATAAAATTACATTCTATATTTTTAGAGTGAATGACCTGTTTGTTCTCCTCTTTCTTTTGGTATCTACTCCATACATTTCCCTTGACTCACTTGGGGAATCAACCCTTTCTGATTGATTGCAGGCAACTGTGATGAAATTGTCAAGCAAGGTGCTCTGCCTTCATTGACCAAGAGGAAGTCACATGACACCAGCTCAGCCAATCAGCTTCTCTCCCAACAGGTATTTGAATCTTAGAGGCAAGATACAAGAAAATGATGAGAGCAGACTGATCCTGACAGAGTGGCTTCTGTCCTTTGCAAGGATTTCTTATTCAGCTTTTCACTCTGTTCTATGAGTTACCCCAATGTCCTTCCACCTTTTTTTCTCTTTACTTAAATTACACAAGTCAGTTTCTGTTCAGAGCCAATGATTCTGCCAATTTCTCCCAATGTCCTTGAAATCTGCTTTATCTTATAATACAGCCTGCTTCTCTCCTACATTATATAATATACCGTACTTTTAACATACAGAGTTAGAATCGTAGAATTTCAGGGCTGGGATCAAGACAGTCTTTAACTTGAATACTATTACTAAGAAGTTTAAGGCTGACAATAGTCTTTTCATATAGCAGGAAAAAAAGAAGGAAAAACTGGCAGTAGGTAGTAATCGAAGGAAAAGACATCTGACATTTTTGCTCCATAATCATAGCTAACACAGAGCATTTGCTGTGTGCATCTTCCCAACTAGTCTATGAGGCAGGTACTATGCATAACTTTATGTTAGAGATGAGGACACTGGGACTCAGAGAGAGTGTTTGCAACCTAATTATTGGCAGTGCCACAACACAAATTTAAAACCTTTGATGCCAAAATCCATGCACGTAACCACATTATTTCACATACATAAGTAAACAACCTGACCAAAAGTTTAAGGCTCAAAAAGTGAGTGTATGGCACTGTCACATAGTAGGGCCTCCAAAAATCACTGATGGTGACAAATACACAACTCAGTAAAGCACATTGGAGGAAGAGTTTGAGGCACTGTCCAAATCTAAGGTTTGTACTCTTCAAAATGAGGAGCATAGTAGTAGTTCTTTTCCCTCTTAATGTAGGGTTTGAAGACTATCCAATGATATAAATGAAGGGGAAAATGTCATAACTTGCTTTTTATTTAAAAGTAAAATTTTAAGAAGCTAGTGGTGTTGAAATCCATGTGCCTCTAGAAACTTGAATCTCAGTGAATTACATGTGTCAAAATCATTCACGGATATTTGGGAAGACTTTTTAGAAAACTGGAGAAATTTCCAAAGCCTGGAAACGGGACAGTGTTATTTCTTTAGAATTCTTTTAGTAAACCTCTATAAACTCCTAAACACATGAATGAACATGAATAAACAAGTCTTTGCCTTCTAGGTACAAGTATCCAAATTGCTAGAGACTAAAGAAAACTTAGGAGAAAAAATGTGACAGAGGTAAGAATGCAGCAAGTTGAACCAAATAACTTGTATATATTAATTTTTCCCCAAGATCAGCTGACCCAGGAAAACCTATGGTTTAAGCTCACACAAGACCAACTCCAGACAGAACCAAGAAGTCTCAGCCATCGGTTATTAGGCTGCTGAAAAAATACATGGAGACCTAACCAGAAGGCCAAGTCACCATACAGTAGCCTTAGAGAATAGCTCTAGAATTTCCAGACTAAACTACAGACAGACAATAAGTGCTTACAGTCAACCAAGATCGCTCACAGTCCTCAGAACTTTGAATAACATAGGGACACTAAGATTTCTGTTGATACAAATAAATAAGTAGTAAGGTCTGAGCAACTCAGTTCAAACACAGATCTAGCTGGATCCAGAAAGATCCCGGAGAAGTATTGAATTAAACTGGATTCCTGCATTATACTTTGTGCCACTCTATGGGTCTGGAAATTGCTAAAGACCTGTCAGGCCTACATTTTGAAGGCAGTGATAAATTGAAAAAAGTGCTTGTGAACAGCTAATTTTAGCTAAAGAAACGTAAATAGGGAGAGATTTCATACTCTCAAGTACTATGCATAACTTTATGTTAGAGATGAGGACACTGGGACTCAGAGAGAACGCCATGTTTGCAACCTAATTATTGGCAGAGCCACAACACAAATTTAAAACCTTTGATGCCAAAATCCATGCACATAACCACATTATTTCACAAACATAAGTAAACAACCTGACCAAAAGTTTCGAATCAAGAATGCCAGGGTTTAGATCAAGAATGCCAGGGTATCTGTTACTCAATGTACCACGTATTCTGAATAAGTGGCTCCACCTCTCAGCATAAAACAACAAACAAATGATTTCACTAAAAAATCCTTTGCCACGGCCAATTGTCAGGCTCATAGCATGTTGCCTAACTTCCCTGTCCTCAATTGCCTGGCCCCTCTAGTGGTGAACGCCTGCAGTATGACCATAATACCATGTGTCCTGCATTGCTTCCCTTGTTCTCTGTCCTGGTATAAGCCCTGCTTGGAGCTATAACAGACTCACCAGAGCGTTCAGAAACAGCCAGTATGCTGCCAGGTATATGTCTACCTGACTTGACACTCTCTTAGTAGCTTAACTTACTCTGGGTCCCTTTGCCTGCACAATGGGGCTCTGACAGTACCTCCCTCCCAAGGACTGTCCTGTATTGAGTCAGCTAATGTATGTAAAACATTCAGCCCAGTGCCTGGCATGTATTAACCATTCAATGAACTTTAGCTTTTTGCCAGTTTTAGGTGGATCCCCTGCTATCTTGACCTCTACCACTGTAAACGTGTGGGAATTCATTTCTGAGTTAATGCTACAGCCCTGAAGAGGCACGGGTCAGTGATTACTAGAGCAGCATTCATCTGTGGAGACTGAAGTCCTCTTGCCAGACTTTTCAAAACCCTTTCCAAGTTTTGGAGTTGGTTAGAGCTACAGATCAGAGCTCACAGACTCAAATGCCTGCAGGTCCCATCAGGTAATATATATGAGTGACATCGGCCAGGCGTTCATCTATTAACATGTTGGAATATTCCTCACATCCACTAAGAAATATGTTCTCTCATATTTCCCTGGAAGCAAGAATTCCCCTCCCTTGTCCATTTTCCCTTTCACATTTTTTTTTGAGACAGACATAAGTACCAATAAAGATTTCTCCACCATAAGAAAGTAACTATGCAAACACAATAAGACTTCAGTCTAGAAGTTAATAGAGAGTGAGAGCGATGGCTATAAACTGGAGATCCTGTGACTTAAGGGAATGCAGGCCTGGTGTCACCAGTCTTCTGAGTTTTCAAAAGATGTCAGAGTTAAATAATAAATTAATTATTAACATTTTTTTTCCAAAACACTATATGGCTCAGAAAAAAAAAAAAATCTCTTCCTCTCCTTTAAAAAAAAAAAAAAAAAAAAAAAAACACAAAAAAAACCCAGTAACTGAGGACTGAACTCAGCCTGGGGCAACCAATCTGTCGCCTCTGAGTAAAACAGAGAAATTCCATCCTGCTCACTTCTGGGGTGATGAGAGAGCTCTCGCAAACACAGTGACCAGAGTGACTGCAAGACAGTGCTGCCCCAGGTGTGCGTCACCCTGGAAGATGTCACTAGAGCCCAGGCAGAGCTTGTCACCAATGCTTGTTGTGCCATTGGGGCTTTGGTCCCAGCACCAGTTGAACCAGCCTCACTAGGAAACCACCTTCCAGTGGCCCTGGGTTGGAGCTGTCTGGGTAATGGCCTATTAAAGAGGAAACTTAGGCCGGGCGGGGTGGCCCACGCCTGTAATCCTAGCACTCTGGGAGGCTGAAGGCGGGCGGATTGCTCGAGGTCAGGAGTTCCAGAAACCTGCCTGAGCAAAAGCGAGACCCCATCTCTAATATAAATAGAAAGAAATTAATTGGCCAACTAATATATATAGAAAAATTAGCCGGGCATGGTGGTGCATGCCTATAGTCCCAGCTACTCGGGAGGCTGAGGCCTCAGAATTGCTTGAGCCCAGGAGTTTGAGGTTGCTGTGAGCTAGGCTGATGCCAGGGCACTCACTCTAGCCTGGGCAACAAAGTGAGACTCTGTCTCAATAAGTAAATAAAGAGGAAACTTCTGCGGGCCTGTCCATGGAGCTTGTGGATCAGTGCCTGGGTGAAAGCAACCACCGAGGGCCTGGAAGTGGCCACATGGCTCCCCTGAGCTTTTATCCTTCCCCATTCAACAGCTCTTCAAACTAAACCAAAGCATTCTTCTTCTTTGCAAAGCCCTTTCCTGCAGACGGACTTGAGAAAACCTGTAACCAGGGAACCTGTGCAATAGAGGAAAGACAGTTTTCCTTAATTACCTTTCCATGGAGAAGACAGGGTCGTTTGAGAACCTTGTCATCTAATTTTCCTACTGACCCCAAAGTTAACAACGACCACCACCACGAGCACCACCACAATAATTACGGCCCACATTTATCCAGCGCTTACTACCCTGTGCGGGGCACTGTTCTAAATGCTACACCTCGTATCATCTCATTTAATCCTCCCAACAACCGGATGAGGTAGGTGTTGTTATTATTACTCTTTCTGAGATGAGGAAATAGGCACAAAAGGTTAAATAAATTGGCCAGTACCACCTAGCTAGTAAGTGGTAAAAATCTGGCCTGAGACACAGGTACTGAGCCAAGAGATACAGCACCTTAACCGCCTGGGGGCCTGCTCCTGGTGGAAAGGGGGTGTGTGTGGAGGAGGGAGCACAAATTCTTTACCAGCTATCCTGGAAGAGCAAGTGGTGCTGAGGACCCAGAGCGAGAGGATTCATTTCAAGGAGGAGCTGAGATCTGAGTGACTTACTCAACCCTCCAAATACAAAGTTGTAAAATCTTTTCCTTTGGGAATCAAAGATGTTAAAGGTAGAAAGGACCTTAGCGAGCACTAGTCCAGTCCACTTCCTATACTTGGAAGCCTCTGTTTTCACTGAGCTCAGGAGAATAAATCCCAAGCCCACACCGCCCCTCCCCCCCGCCCTTACAGGACACCTCTTCCCAGAAAGTGGGGGGGGGGAGGAGGAGAAGGGGGGAGGGGAGGGCCGGTGATGAACGCGGACAGGGAGAGATTTCCCTGTGGTGGTGAGAGTGTGCCCCCAAGAAAATTCCTCCAGGAGCCCGAAGAGTCCCCCCACCTCCCCCGTGCCGGGCCACCCTCCCCCTTTACCTCGTAGGTGCTGGTAATTCCCAGTTTGTAGAACACCGGGAGGAAGACCTCCGCGGTGATGACGATCACAAAGAAGTAAGTGAAGGCAAAGATGCTGTATATGGCCCCGAAGCGGTAGACCTCGGAGGGGGTGCCCAGGACGGTGATCGCCGACATGAAGCTGGCGGCGAGGGACAGCGCCACGGGCACCGCGGTCATGCTGCGGCCGCCCATCAGGAAGTCCTTGGAGGTCTGCTGGCCGCCCCCCGCGAAGGCGTAGTAGATGCCGATGACGGCCGAGATGAGCAGCATGCCGGCGAACACCAAGTAGTCCCACACCACGAAGGTGCCGATTTCCCGCGGCGCGTCCATGGCCCGCGGCGCGCAGCCCGAGCCGGGCGCGGTGGCCTCGGCGCTCGCTTCTTATTCCCGGCGGGAGTGGCGCCCTGCGGGGACTGCAGGCGTCGTCCCCCAGGCGTCCGTCCCCAAAGTGTCCCTTCCCGCCGACCCTGAGCGCCCCGCCAAAGTGGGAGTGGGGGCGCGGGCTGGCGGTTGTCCCTGCGCCCGCGGCTGCGAGCCGGGCCCCGAAAACCGAGGTCTGGGGCTGGGCGCTCGCTCTCCAGGTGCGGGCCTGGGCGGGGTGGCCGGGATCGCCAAGGCGCCGGGGACACCCAGGCAGGTGAGAACTGGAGCCTCCAGCCACGTCCTGCGAATCCACGGAGAGCGCTCGGCGCGGATTTTACCAGGTGGCACCCGAGGGGACGCACCCTTTAAATGAGTAGGCGACCGGTGGGGGAGTGCTGGACGAAGGGCAGTTGTCACGCCTTGAATTGGAGCTTTCCAGTTCAACAGTCCAGTCCGGGTCCTTGCGGGAAGATGTGCCGAGACTTTTCAGATTGCCTTACTTGATAGGTTAATGGATGACTATAGGTCGATTTGCGTGACAGTCTGCAGTGAGCTGAGATCACAGTCCTTAGACAGGTAAACGATTATAAAGGAGAGGGAAAAGTCTGTGCTATTTATTGGTTGCCTTCGTTTTCACTCAACAAAACTTTCCGATCCCCTACAGTTTGTGGCAGAAATGATAGTTGCTGTAATATTAATAATAATTCTTACTGTTTAATGAGCCTTAGGAAGACACACACACGTTTGGCACCTTTTATTAAAATATGTTAATATAATTCTATTGCTCTTGAAAAATGAATTATCTCCATTTTTCAAAAAAGGAAAGTGCCTTAAACTGCTTCAAAATGATTAAGTCACTTGCTCAAGGAAATGGTGATTAAGATTTTTAATCTAGGTCTGATTTCAGAGCTTATTCTCCTGACAGTGCTATACTTTGTGGAGTCCACATGTAGATATGTGTTAAAGGTAGGCACAAATGTGTACACTTAAAGACACTTGCAAGCACACAGAAGAGAAGAGCATTTCTAGTATCAGCACTCAGGACATATTTTAAGTGGCTTGTCTTGAAATATTACTAATAATGCATGAGTCATGCTCACAAAGTAATATAATTCCCAAGTTTGCCTGCTAAAATGTACACGCTACCCAAATGCACCCAGCTATAAGTCTATTTCTGCCTGTCCTTGTTCATTTTCACACATCTCTATAATTTACCAGTTGATCCTTGGTAAATAATACACACAGTGCATTTAGTCCTGTTCGGTGTGTGAAGAAAGCTATATCAGATTTTATTTCTTGTAAACTGGTGTTATTTGCATAACATTTTCAGAAGGAAATAAACAGGGAAATAGAAGTTAAATCCAAGTAATTCAATCATTTAAACAAGTATGTGGTTTGGAATTATATCCCACCTGTGTGAAATTTACTGTATTTACACATTGTTATATACACATATTTACATATAGTATTTATTTAAAAGATTATATACATATTTTATGTATATATATCTATGTCAGACACTCAGTGAAGGAAGGATGGAATTTTGAGTTCACAGAATGATAAAGACTGGCTTGTGAGAAAAGAATATTTAAAATTGGCCGGGCGCCTGTAATCCTAGCACTCTGGGAGTCCGAGGTGGGCGGATTGCTCAAGGTCAGGAGTTCAAAACCAGCCTGAGCTAGAGCGAGACCGTCTTTACTATAAATAGAAAGAAATTAATTGGCCAACTAATATATATATAGAAAAAATTAGCATGCCTGTAGTCCCAGCTACTTGGGAGGCTGAGGCAGGAGAATCGCTTGAGCCCAGGAGTTTGAGGTTGCTGTGAGCTAGGCTAACACCACAGCACTCACTCTAGCCTGGGCAACAAAGTGAGACTCTGTCTCACAAAAAAAGAAAAAAACAATATTTAAAATTGTTAACAAGTCAACAGTTAAGGGTGTTACATGAGCTGCCTTCAAATTTAAAATTTCACTGGCTTGTTATCTAAAAGTTATTATAGTATAAAAACTAGATCCATCCCTCAATAAGGTAGATGATACTAGTTATAAAGTACAAATCTTCACTTTTTTCTTTCTCTCCAGAACTTTCCTACTATTTTAGCTTTATTCTTCTCACTAATCAATGTACTTACAAGCATATAAAAATATATCATGTGCTTATTTATGTAATGCCTTATACCTGTATAGTTCTTTCAAGTTTTAGAAGTATATTCACATTTAATATTTTATGAAAATGGTGGTTTAAATGACAAAAGTGTGTATGTACTTTTTTTCATCCCCATGTTTTAGAGTATTTTTAAAATTTGGCAAAACGTTTTTTTCCCCAGAAAAGTAATTAGTGGCCCTTTGCCACATCTGTAGGTCATCGATACAGATATTGAGAAGAGGGCCAACAGAGCCAAGCAAGTTTCCCTAGAGTGAAATTAGGTTGCATTTCCTATTGCTCACTTCCCATTACTACAAAATGTTTATTTACTAATTATACTGTAGTGAGGAAACAAGGATGACATTTATATAAAACATTACAGCATTGCATTATAAGTTATTTCATATCTTGTTGGAGTAGGTTTCCTTTGTAGAAATACAGGAGTTTTCTAAATGGCCTCTTTAATTTTTTTAAAAGCGAAGTAGTTAGAGGGAGGCCAGGGAGAATGGATTTATATTAATAGTTGGTGGTAATTATTTCCAAGTAGAAAAAGGACCTAGAATGTGCTGGATTATATCACAGCTAATGCAAGGACAGAATCTGCTCTAAGAGCTCTTGAATTTTCACCAGAAAACCTAGCCCCAGTCTTCATGGAACATGCCCCCTACTTTTTCTGTCCCCCACATGGTTCCTTTCACAAGTGCTCTCAACCTATCTCCTCCTGTTAGAATCTTACCCATCATTTAAGGTGGACTCAATTGTCAAAATTTGCCATGAAATATTTCACTATTCCTAATCCCACCTGCTGCACAACCAGAGGTGCTCTTTCTCCCTCTTGGGACCCCCTTAGCATGTTTTTTTTTGTTTGTTTTTTTTTTTGTTTTTTTTTAGTGCTTTCATAGCTGAGCTAACCCTTAGCATGTTTATACTCATTGCTTGGCCTTCACAGTGGTACAGTACTATAATTGTTTGAATCAAGGCTCTTAATGCAGGAGTATCATCTCATGGATTCCATGAGGCCAAAAGTAGGACTGGAAAGCCACTCCACGTGGCTGATTTGTTCTTCCCTTTCTCTCTCCAGATGGGTTTTCTCTGCATTGCCACTGGTATTTGGTCAGAAATATCCAAGCCAGTGCTTATACGCCCTTAAATCAGTGGACAGTAGAGATTGGTTAGTCCCTTTGAATGCTAATTTTAAATCCCTTAGAGAGGAAATCAAGGGTTCGGCTTGGGTCAAATGTCCCTGAACTTCTAATAGGCTGCAGCCAGAAGGGCAGGGTTCCTGCTGTGGCTGCCCAGATTCACCCTGGGGGTGGGGAGAGGGACTAGGTCTCCACTTAAGAGGGCGGTAAGCTGGTGAGGCACTCTGACAGGTGTCTGCTCTATTAATCATTCGTGCCATTCTACTGTCTCTTGGGAGAGATCATAAACTCCTTGCTTGCTCATCTTTGTAAATCCCCCAAACCCAGTACTGTTTGTTGTGTAAAGAAAATGCTAACCTTGTTATTGTACGGATGCTACTTTACAATGCCTGTTGGCATGGAGAATCTTTCCCAAATTTATAAAAGTGAAATTTGGAGATCTGAGAGCAGATTGGACCCTGAATCTAGGCTTCCTCACGTGCTTTCTTGTCAGGGGGCGGGGGAAGCCTCTTTTCCCTCATTTTGAGTGGAAAATTAAAGGAAGATATCCTCCCAACCTGATTGCCTACTGTCTGTTTATTCTTTGCCTTGAAAGCACAATGGCAGTTGCTAGAGGGCTTCCAGAATATCCTTTTGAAATGGCAAAGGAAAAGAAGGGTGTAGGATTCCTCTACAGAGTACTTGCTTAATGTCCCTTCCACCTAGAAACCCTGTTTGAGTAACCTGGGAACTTAAGAGTGAGTAACAATAGCAGGTGTCATCGCATGGCTTGAATTGGGAAAGATGCAAATCAATCAACACTTCGTATCTCTACCCTTCACATCTGTTTTCTTTTATTTTGTTTCTTTCTTATCTGGGTCTGACTCTAACCTCCTCAATGGAATCATTTCTAAGTTGGACCACCAGGTACTTTTATTAAGTAATAGGAGCAACTCACTCAATAAACTTGCAGTAGAAGTTTCATCTGATGCTCTGGAGTGCTTCCTGTCAGATAATGAGAGCTGTGAAACTCCTCCAGGTTCTCCTTTCCGAGTTTAGTAAGGGTCAACTTGTGTGCAATCATTAGGCTGGTGGGTTTCTCCAGAAAGGAATTCCCCCCAGTCTTACCTAAGAGTTCATAAGTCTGATATTAAGCATGCTGGGAGTCTGGTAGGGGAAAGGGTGGGTAGGTCGGGGGTGGGGTGTCTCACTATGCATTAGGCAAACTTCCCCTAATCCCTGTTTTCCAGAAAAATGCTTCACTCCAGCCCCTAGTTATGACTGATGCCCTTAAGCCAGAGTTCTTTTATTTTTGTTTTGTTTTCAGTTTAATCTCTCCAGAAAGGGTATCTTTAGCTTTCTGCCAAGAAGAACAGAGGAGGGGCAGTTACTTAGTTGCCCAGTCTAGCAGAGGAGGTTTAGCCTAGCTTTCTGGCACTACTTGATTTGAATTGTTTTCCCTAAATTTCAACCCTTTTTTGCTTATGTATCCTTTATCACAAGCAATCTCAAATCCTCTTTTTGATATAGAGAATTATAAACAAACAAGGGAAAATGTCTATTAAAGATGCTGATTGTATATACTCCACTAAAATGGCATCAAAGGAATAAAAATGTTGGTTAGCCTATAAGGACAAAGAGAAGGAGAGAAGAGATGACTGCAGAAAAATACCACTTATCAATTGTATTCAGTATAATTTTGGAAGAACAAATGCAGATAAACAAGTGGAAATTGACTTTGATTTCAGCTTTCCGCACTTTCTAAATACCTTAAGGGAAGGAAACCAACTAGAACAAAACGATTTGTACTACAGTACCCACCCCTCTTCAAGAACTGTCAAAAAACAGCGATGCCATCTGTCTCTAAAGGTGAAGTTATGAGGTGGAATGAAAAACCAGAAGGCTTTGTTCTTCAAGACCACACCCTTTCTCTTCTGCTAGGCTGGGCAACTAAGGAACTGCCCCTCCCCACTTCTTCTTGGCAGAAAACTAAAGATACCCTTTCTAGACAGGTTAAACTGAAAAAAAAAGAAACAACTCGGGTTTAAGGGCACCAGTCATAACTAAGGGCTGGAGTGAAGCATTTTAGTGGAAAATAGGGATTAGAAGTTTGCCTAATGCACAGTGAGGCACCCCACCCCCGACCTACCCACCCTTTCCCCTACCAGACTCCCAGCATGCTTAATAACAGACTTATACACTCTTAGGCAAGACCTGGGGGGAATTCCTTTCTGGAGAAACCCACCACCCCAAGAGAAGAGACCTACAAATACTGGCGTTTAGGAGTTCTATAAAAAGACAGGGTCCCCTACCTGACCATTCAAAAATGAGGCCCTCCAA